AAAGCTAATATTGTGATAGCATGTTGAAAGAGTAAATGAATTAGCAAAAGTAAACACAAAACTTCAAGCCTGATATTGATATTTGTAGGGTGTGTCGAGGACTTAAGATTAACTACAGAGAGTTTAAAAGGAGATCATATCAATGCTAGTGTGTGCACTGAAAATATAACTTGTCTAGCAAAGTCTTCAATAGGATTACTGTTTATGATTATAGAGGTATTCATACTAATGTAATATACTAGTGTTATGTTTCTAACCTTTTTTTTTTGCCAATATTTTGACTAAAGGATCTAGAAGACTATAATAGCCTATTAAAAAAATGTCCCCAAATACTTCAAAATAGGAAAATCAGCACCAAATAGTTGCATTTCTAATTTGATTCTGTAAAAGCCATGTTTCTGTACTGTGCTTATTTTAGTGAAGCATTTTAATCATTAATCTAGAAAATAAAATCAATTTCTCCTGACTGTAAATTTATCACAGAAAAAACCTGCATAAGTATAAAAAAAAAAAAGGCAGGGACAATGAAGGGCAGGTCACTACTACTAGATGATGTGGAAGTGAGCACATGAGGAGAATGGCAACATGAAACTTCTATGTAGTCATAGAAGTCAAAGAAAAAGCTATAGTTACAGAAAATAACACAGAGGCTTGTCTTGCAGAAAAACACAATCATCATATCAAGGTAGATATCGTGTGTTGCCAATCATCAGAAAAGGCTAATTATTAGACGTGTGTACAAGCAAGAGAATTTCAGTCCTACTTCTGTACCTGGCACTAGAATGACTACTGCTACATCCAAGCTAATGGCATACAGTTGAGGATTGATGTTGCAACCTGAAAAAAGTTCAGAGAATTGTAAAGAGAAACATTTAAGTACTGGGAAAAAAAAGTAACCTGTAAAGAGCAAGGTTTCGAGAACTCAGCTTATTTACCTTATCCAGGATACACTTTTAAAATCCTTACTAATGGCAAGAAGGTAATGGACTCTTCAGTCCAGGAGACAAGTGACAAAATTCCATTAGGTAAGTATTGGAACTAAATGAAACAAAACTAGACATGGATTTTTTTGTTGTTGTTGGATGAAGGTGAAGAACACAGGAACACTCTACTAAAATTAATGGTATTATTTACCTATTTTTTAGCATTTTTTTAAATCAAGAATGCATGCTTTTTGAAAAGTGATTCTCAGTTTGAATTCTCAGCATTAATGAAAATTTACAGTTGTTGTACAACATGAATCATTGAAGACCTTTATCATGTTTACACCTACGTGAAAACTAGCAGACAGTGGAAATAAGAGGAGAAAAAAATTAAAGAAATGAAAATGAGTACAGTGTTTTATTAAGTTAATTTAGACTCTCAAATAGCTTGTCTTGGTAAAGGACTTTGTCTGCTGCGATTTTGTTTGTTTTGTTCTCTGTATTGAATGAGCATGTGATATTATCATACCATTTTGGAGAGCAAAATGGGCTCAAACACAGAGTTAGTTACACATGATGGCTCCACCACTTGTTCACTTCTGCTATAACCTGAGATATGGCTTGGCATTCTCTTCTAATCATGGCCCCAGAAGAAGAATATCTTCCTCTTGTTACCCAGATACACCCATATTTGGAAACTAGGAGAGGATACAAAAGAACAGCTTCCTTTCACAATGACCCTTGGGGTCATCCAGAATTGGGGTATATATGATTTGACATTTCTGTTTTCCCATGCCACCTCCAGGGACCAAGACTGACTTGACATAGAAAAATGCCTACAAATACCACAACTCACACTGTCACTTCAATAAGCAATAGACTTCTATTTACAGGGCTGGACAGATGGATTGAAGGAAGAAGTTCCGTGTCTACCTTACTTACTCCACAGATTCCTTCAAATGGATAAAATGCACAAAAACTCAATAGATGTGCAGAAGAATTTCTTCACAGGATGTGGGCAGCCTATTCCAGTGCTCCAAAGGGGGTTGCAGTCTCTTCCTGTGGAGATGTTCAGGACCAGCCTGGATGCCTGCCTCTGCAATCTGATCTGGACAGCCTGCTTTGGCAGGGGGTTGGACTCTATCTCTAGAGGTCCCTTCCAGCCTCTACAATTCTGTGATAATAAAACCATGTCTAAAGTTAAACTGCTGAAGGTCAGTGGACTGCTGCTGTTCACCTGCATGTTGCTATAGTCTGCTCTAGATTCCAACATAAATCTGAGAAATAAGACTGTTGGGTTTTTTTTTGTTTGTTTCCCTCATATTAGTGTCCAGACTGAATCAGACCAAAGACCATAATCTAAGCATTGCTATGTGGACACTAGGAATAGGACACAAAGCAGTGGGAAAAAGGATTACTAGAGAAGAGAAAAGGCAAGAAGTTCTAACAGTCCAGTGAAGTTTCCTGTGACTGGAAAAGGTGAAAGAGAACCCTCATTTTTAAAAAGAGAAAAAAGGAAGACCCAGGGAACAGTAGCCCAGACAGGCTCATTTCTGTGCCCACCAATATTATGGAGCAAATTCTCCTGAAAATCATATTAAGACATATGGAATATAAGGAGGTGATTTTTGACAGCCAACATGGCTTCAAAAAGGGCAAATCAAGCCTGGAAAATTCCTTGGCCTTCTATGAAAAGGTTACAGAATTGACAGACAAGCAAAGAGCAACTTACGTCATCTACCTGGACTAGCGCAAAATTCTTGATACTGTCCTACACAGCATCCTTATCTTTAAGTTGGAGAGACATGGATTTGATGGATGGACCACTCTGTGGATAAGGAATCAGCTGGATGGTCACTCTCAACGAGCTGCAGTCAATAGCTTGATGTTCATGTGGAGACCAGTGACAAATGGTGCCTGTCAAGGATCAGATTTCCCTCCCTTGTTATCCAATAACTCCACTTCCCATAAAATTTTGTGAAATGTGCAGCTTTATTACTGTTTGTTCAAAGTAAATAATTCTTGTGAGTTTCAAGCATGGAACAAAAAAAAGTTTAGTCTGAAAAAATATATTAAGAAAAAATGAAATTATGATAGATTTCTGACTGAAAATAAACATGCCAAGTTTAAATGTTTTCCAATAAAATATGTTTTCTTTCCATATGCTATTTGTGTATAAATACAGATTAGCCACCAATCTATCATTCTCTTTAGCAGGTTTGTTGTAATAGGACAAGAAGAAGTTTCAAAATAGAAGAGCAGAGGTTTAGATTGTATATAAGATATGAAAAATAAGTTGGTTTTTTTTTGGAAGAAGTAAACTATACATAGGCATATTTAGAGATCAATCCATTCATTCTGAAACACATGAGAATTACGTAAGTAATTGAAATTCTCCAAATTTCCATCTGATATTTAAAAAAAATAAACAATTTGGTTTGACTGCAAGAGCATGCCAGTATTTCACAACAAATATAAATGTGGGAGATTTAACATTTTTGCATTCCTTCTCCTGCAGGTACAGCTGAGGAACGTTCAGACACTTTCACCACAGACATTTCAGGATAGTATTAAGTATGCATCTGAAATGCAAAAGCAATTTTCTAAGCTTTACTCCAAATGATGCAGCCTTACACATATAACTCAAAGTACTGATGCATTCTTGTGCATCATTCATTCATTTGGTACTGTACAGTAATAATAATGCATTAGGTAAAATACCATTATGATGGGGGAGAACACCATCTACCTGACACTTCTGGTGATGTCTAGGAGCACTCTGAACAGGAAAGTCCAGCTTCATCTTCTCTGACCAGGATCACAGATAAACTGTCTTTCTAAAGATCAGGTAATAAAGTAAACGTAATTAGTACGTATATTAAGTCCTTTCCACAGAGGAAGAAAGAAGTTCCAGAGATTCAAGTTTAGGAGTCTAAGATGTTCTTTGCTCTTTTATTTTCCTGGTATTTATAGTTCATAAGATTTTTTTTTAAATGATATGTGTATCTACACCTCTCTCCTGGATTGCTTATGCCTTGCTTACAGCTATAACAGATTTTTTCGTTGAATTTATTATATTAATCTGTAGAAATGAACAGGAACGGAGCAAGAAGACAGGACGGAAAACTAAATTCCAAAACATTCTAAGTTATAAGAATAAAGTTAAGTTACAAAAAGGAAAATAATAAAGTTTCCTGTTTAAGGAAAGAAAGATTTGGAACAGCTGAAAAGCTATGGTTTGAAAGTCTAAAACTATGTCTCAGTTTTGGAAATAAGAAAGTGGCCCAGAGTGTAAATAGCATGATCAAAACTCATTCAGTTCAGAAAGACAAATCTCAATGAGGAAGTGTGATTAAACCATTATCATATTATAATATTTTCCCCTGTTGGTGTGAAAAATCAAATGAAAACCCACATGAAAATAGAATGCTGCTACTTGCAGTGGAATAGGTTACATTCAGTTTCAATTCAGGAATTAAAATCCTACCATCTCAAGTGGACGTGATCTACTGTAGACATCTATTTAATATAAAAATCATCAAGAGATCCCAGTAAGAGTTTACAATGTTTTTAGAGTGGACTTTGAAGTTAAAACATATGTGCAGAGCTTACTTGCACTACACAATATTGGCAGGTTATTTGCATTTCAACTGGAAACCAAATGTAGACAGAAAATTTTAATAAAACATTAACAGATCTGTTTTTTTCATTATTTCTTTTCCAAACTATATTTTGTGTTTTCTGCTTTGCAGTAACAGTTCTACAGGCTGTCGTTTCACCTTTCATTAGTCTTCTCTTTAGACTAAACAATGCCAATTCATTCCACACTCCTGTCTGCTCCCTCCAGACTGTTGCACATCCTTCTTACTCCCTTACTCCCTCCTGGACCATCTCCAGTCTGTGTTTCTCTTGAATTATGGTGCCCAAAACAGTACTCTGAGTCTTACCAATACGTCACAGACAGTGGAGGAATTATGTTATATATCTTGTGCAGAACATTTGCACCCCAGAATCACTTGATTTTGCTCAAACAAGCTAACCCTTGGTAAGTTCAGTGAGCTTTCTTAATTAAGCTGATAATTAAAATTTGGAGATGGTCTTTTCTCACGAAAAGTGAGTTCAGACACAGACACACAATAAGTGTCTTAAGGCCAGAAAGTTTTAAGTTGTTTTCCATTATTATATGGTACGTACACAGTACACTAATAAACCAGACATTACCTCTGATTCATAGTAATTCTGGCAGAATAGTCATATTTAATGCTCTAGATACTAACAGTGTTTTAATTTATTAAAAAATCTCCTACTTCATTGTATTGCTTTACATTGCGTAATGTTTTACAAAGATTACAGAAAAAATTTGATGTTTTTTGTTAAAAGTTTGTTTTTCTTTGATTTTCAAGAAGAACTGAGAGCAGTTATTTCCTGCTGTGAGAGAATGTACTATTCTAATTTTAGATTACTTACTGCTTATTTTTCCACAGATCTCCTACATAGTATGAGCAAACAACTTAACTGCTGTCTAATTGTGTTTTACCAGCTATTTCAGAAAAAACATCCTTTACTTCCAAAGCAAACTTTTTTTCCTGTTCATTTTTAAGATGAATTCCTGTTCAATAGAGAAAGTCAGAGAATCAGACTCATGTTAGAGTGGATTACACTACTGATTTGGAGACATTAGCTCCAGAGATGCAATCAAATTATCTTACTATGTGTTGATCAGTTTTCTTAACCTGAACTTAAATTGGTTTTAAAGAAAAAAAACAATTTAGAAGTATACCTAATAGCAGAGCACAACTAAATCATTAAAAGGTAGATAAAAGCCTCCATTATTTGTACAACTTTAACATACTCAGAAAAACAAAGCTATTCTTTTTGTTAAACCCCCGTCTAACAAACATGAAAGCTTTGTGTAACACAGATATGTTATGGCAGCCAAAGTTTTAATACAAGTATAGATAAACTATTTATCTGCCACCTGTATTTCCTCACCAGAAATAATGCAGAAAGCTGCCTTCAATTTATTCATTCATGAAAACAATTTCTTTTGCTTCTCATTCACTTTTTAAGCCAGAAGTGACAAGTGGTGAGAAAGTACTTAGTGAATTGTTTGGAAAATTAAAATTCAAGAACTCTATGTAACAAATAGTAGATAATACGAGAAAGTTGGAGTGTTGTAAAGGCCTGACACAGTTTTATGATTATCTCCATTCATTTAGAGGGGAAAAAAATAACTTCAGACCCAAGACAACTGGTTTTATTTTTCTTTTCCCTTTAGAAATTCAAGTAGGAGAACCCCCTATGTGCTGTGCTATTGTTGCAACTACCATGAGGTTTGGTCTACTGAAATTATCACTGGCTTACTCTTCCTTCCTGTATCTTGACAGGAAGTACTTAAAAAGTCAGAAGAAATTTATCTATTGAGTTGCTGGTAATGAGATTGTCTGATCAGAAAGAATAAAGGTGGTAGTCAGACTCACGTTGCTTTTTTCCAACCTTATGGATTTTTAACATAAAACACCTTTAATAAAGCTCTTTCTTGAGCATGGTCCCTGTGCGGTGGACTAGGTGGAAAAAGTCAGACTGTACCTCTCAATATTGCCTGGTGGTGGGCAGCTTTTATAGACCCTAAAAGGTAAAGGATGTGGTAAAGGATGTAATTTTTTTTTTTTTTCCTCCTTTTTTCTTCCCCTGCTTCTGCCCCCAGCCATACTCTGGTTTATCCGATACATCATGAAATTCATGACAGTGCTCTTAGTTACAATGTACTCTGATGGATATAAGTATACTTAACTACAATCCAAAATATCCATAAGCACAGAATACTCACTGACTGGTGCTTCTCTGAAGACTGAAAATGCCCTCTGCTCTCTTACATTCCAGTTTAAAACAAACATGTCTCTCTGTATTAAAAGCTGAATCTGCAGTCATTTCACCAGGACCAAGTTCTCTCTCAGACCTGAAATATCTGTTAGAAAATGGTAACAGAACAGAAATCAGCCTCATGTGAGCACAGACCTTCTGATGGCAAGTTATGGGAGGTATCGCTTCAGAACACTGCACTAGCAAAGTCTGTATGCCAGACACAGGAAACAAAGAGAAAAATAAGACCAACTACAGAAACTTCCCAAATCATATCATTTTTATAGTTTAGTGAGAAGGTGGGTTTTCTCACTGTGACTGACCTCCAAGGAGATGATTTAAGGCAATACAAATATTAGGTTTTTTAAATTTTTATTTTTATTTTTAATGTCTCTGAACATTCATGTATTAGTTACAGGACAATCATCCCGCTTGGTTTTGATTACCTCTTCAGACCATTAACCAGTTCTCTTTGCTGAGTGCAGAGTGGGAGAACAGCTTTTTCCATTTTTAAATATATGTTGTTTTTATTTTAAACCAAACCACCAAGAAAAACCACAAACCACCAAACAAACCAAAACAAACAAAAAGTTGAGAATGGAACTAATCAAGATTGCATTTACTCATCTCTGTCAACAACAATGGCATTCCAGTTATTCTCAGTTATTGCAATGAATTCCAGATTAAGAAAAAAGTTAGACAAATCTGCTAGTTGTTAAAAACCTGTTTGTGATGCAAACTTGGGTGCTAACTGACCTCAAAATCTCCACATTCAAATGCATTCACTGAATGTCTTAAGTGAAAATTATCAACTGAGAGCATATCTGCTAAATTTTACTAAATATCCTACTTACAGCTACTTCTGTTTGTCTCCCATGAATGTTTCTGTTACAGATGTTTTGCTTAATTGGATCAAAAATTGTAAGAGTAATAAACAGGACAGCTATAGTTTGGATTTTCTCCAGCATTACCTTTTGTCCTAAATTTCAGTAACATTTTCAGCTGATATTTCTATCCCATATTTAAGAATAACTTTCTCAGCATTTCAGTGTATAATAATGCCAGTTAACTAGATTAATTTCTTAGTGCATTCTTGATTTCTAGAATCTTCCTAAATCAAAGCACAACAAATGTATTTACTCAGGTTCATTCTTTGATGCATGGTAGGAGTGTTACTACAATAAAGAAAAAATGCTATCACTTATGTAGTAATCATTTCATTAATGAATATAAAATCTCCAACTGAACAAATTGCATACAATCTATATTAGGTGCTGAGACACTTCATGATGACTTTGCTCAGTTATTTTCTTTGAGTAGAGCTATCCCAAATTTCTGATATTTGACCACTTGCACGCTGAAGGGAGATCAGGAGAATTAAACATGCCAATCCAAATACAATAGAGCAAAATATCCCTTATCAATGACTTCAATTTCACTATCAAACTCAGAGCTATGTAATAACATAAGAAAGCCCAGGAAAGAAACAAGTATACACAATTCTGTTTCATCAGAACTAAAGCTTAGGTTACTGCAGCCAGATTCAGGCCTGTCTCCAACATGAGGTAACCACTACGGTTCAGAAAAGGATTTAGCTCCTCTTCTTCCCTCCTATGTTGATGATTTTATTAATTTAATTGCAAAGCCCTGTAACGAAATCAAGCATATTTGTATACCTACAGTTGAGCTCTATATTGAAAAAAAGAACTGGTAGTTCCATGTTTAGTAAAAGTGAAGAAATGTCTTCTAGCTTCACTATGACTTTGTTACAAGTTTAGCAGACATGAGAACAGGAACACTTCATAAAGTACCAGTAACTGTCAACGTGTAACAGAAAATACCATAACACTGCTTTTATTAAATACTACAACAACCTTGTTTGTTTGTTTTAAATCAAGATTGCAAAGCCCAAGTCTTCACATATTCTTCCATCCAGTAAACATGATTCTACTACGTTCACTTATGAAAGAATGAATGCGTATGGATAATATCAACTGCTGTAATTAGAAGAGCAGACTCAGCTGAATATAGAGAAGTCACTTACCTATAGTATCAAAAACATATTTGATTAGGATGCTCACTGTCATAAGTATTCACTATCACACTGAACGTTTGCAGTTTAGATCCCTTTTGGCAGCAGAAGTGGCTAGTCAGCACTTCCAGAAGTGAAGCTTGATTAGACCACCATCAGTGTATTTAGCTTTTACAGACCAGATTCACTCTTTCCACAGGATACAGAGATGCCATCCATTTCATAAGAATATTTTGAAGTCCTGCTGATAAGAGAATATTATTTATGCAGAATTAAATATGTTAAAAAAAGTCAAATTAAAGCAAACTAATAAAATTCCACCAGCACAAACACACCTCTGGGGTGCTATCTGCTCTCACTTATACCTTTTTTTTTTTTCTTTCTAATCCACATATCCTCAATCTTTTTAACACCTGCTTTTTAAACCAAACTCTCCCTCCCTCCCTCCAAGCTTTTCTTCATCTTTTCATTAGGATACATTTTATCTCACTTCTCTTGTTCCGATGTCACCTAACAATTTCTGCAATTCTGAAAATGAATTTATTTATTGCTATGAAATTTTCCCTTGTGTATAGACAGTCTGAAGTTGGGAAGAGTTTTGCAGATATGAGATATATGCATACAAATATGTTATTGTGCATCTTTCATAAAAGAAAAAAAAAATAGCCAAAAAATTCCACACTTAACTAAAACCTTTACATGTTGTTTTGTCATGTGTGTTAAATAGAAACCTCTATATTACAGTACTCCTTTCTGAAGAAAGCTCCCCTATAACATGTCAAAACCTAAGAAGTTAAACAGAGTTAAGTCAAACAAGTTAAAATAGAAGTTAAACACAAACAATCTTAAGAAGCCTACTTTAAGAATATAAAACACAGAAAAGTACTCTTGCATAAATGATTCCCACCGTACCTACCATTGAAATAACACTCCAGCAAGTTGTTACACATCCTGTGTCTCCTAAGGTATTATATTTTTATATTTTCCAGAGAAGGGTACAAAAGAAAAAAAATAAAACTAAGTACATACTTGTGCCAAAACGTGGATGTGTAATGCCTCCTTTATTTCCACTGATTCTCTGTTTGAAGAAGCTAGAGAAGAACAAGTGATGGTATTTTCAATAGTTAAGCCACAAAATAAGATAAGACTGTGTCTGCAGTTAACAGAATTAAAACCTCCGTTCCATTCACACACGTTGCTTTTGTGTCAGAGGTCCTACACTCCTATTAAAAGTACCTGCCCTTGACAGTGGTAGTGCCTCTTTGATGTTCCACTAATGCAGGAATCCATGGCTCTCAGTGAAAGGCACTGGGCAGCTGTACAAAGCAACCTTACTTTTCTCGCACTGATAAATAAGTGATGAGAACAACCAATTAGTTTATGTTTTCCCTTCAAAATTTCATTCTGTCATTATTAACACACAGCAACACAGTAATTCATGCTAGCCAATAGTTCTATGCCTGTGGATGTAAACATTCATCCCTGTACTTACAATATTCCTTTCTGCAATTCCCAAATTATTCCTACCAGTAATGTGGCTGCATCATACATTAAGTACAGAAAGCTAACCATTGAGAGAAAAGATCTTACCGTATAGTGAAAGAATCAGCATCAGAGTATAGTGATGACTGAATACTCAAGAGCAGTTTTATTCCTGCCCTAGAGACCAACTAGGCTCAACAGGGAAGAAGCAGCAAGAAAATTTTTAAATGGTCTTAAAAACTAAGACATAAACATATCCAGCTGTTTTCTGCAAAAGTAAAGCCATAGCTGTTTTACGAAGTTCCATCGTGTCTATATGACCTACAAAAAATACTCAGGATCAGCTGAAAGTGGTTTGGACAAAACAGTATTAAATTTTCAACAAGAAAATGGAGATCTGAAGGTTTTATTTCAGTCAGTATAAAACTGTACCTTTCAACTCGCTTTTTATAAAACAAGATGAGAAATCAGTAATCAGACTAAAACGTACAGCTAATTTTCAAAGTATCTTTTCTATACTGATGAGGTCCCAAAGAAATTTTGACAGTGATAAAAATGCATTCTATTGCACAGCATACAGTTCATTGGAATATAGCTCTCTGAACTTGAGCACGTTCAAGGTGATTGAAGATTTCTTCTTCTGTTTCTGGAGTGAGCTGAACATTATCTTTGATTGGAGACAGCGGGTCTGACTTTTTACAAGAAGGGAGCTTTTCATAGTCTCTGCAGAAAGACAGACAAAACAAAACCCAGAGTTATGACATTATGTGTTTATAGCTACACACTGTGAGAACATATGGCTTAATTGAAAACTAGACCTTTCATCCAGCTACCTTTTCATCCACCAGCAAGTCCAAAACAAAAGTGATGTAAGTTTTATGTCCAATTTCACTGTGGCTAACAGTTTGACTGAAAGCTATTTCAACCATTTCAGTTATCCTGTAAATGGAATGAGAGCTATTATTTTTACATCTGAAGCATAGTACGTACCACATTCTACACAGGGCTGTTTGCGCTTCCTTAACTTCCAGGTCTTCTGGACAACTGTAGTATTATATATATTTTGTGAACGTTAAGGCCAGAACAGATTAGAGCCCTGTGTGATCTGTTTGCCCTCAGACAATGTAATTGCCTGTAGTCAATTTCAGTAGATCACTTAAATCTGAAAAAACAGTGAGCAGAGCACTCAGATCCAAGCCAGCCCCTCTTAGGAGGGAAAACTTTTTTGAGAAACAATTTACAAACAACATCCCTTAAACTAAGAAACAGCTATTTTAATTCCATAAAATTAGGTAATACATTCAAAATATATATTTCTGGTATACCCCCAGAAGTTACAGACCAGAAAAAACGTGGATAAGTGTGTGAATGTTGGGGCTTAAGTCTTAAAACCACCGGCACAGTAAAGGAGCACAGTGTCAGTGCTATTAGGCTCACTATCTTATTATGTCTGCATTCCAATAAATGAAAACACGTCATTTTCTAACAATCCTGGTCAGACATTCCCAATTGGAATCCAAGCAATACATACATAAACATTGTCAAATACCCCTTTGAAACTAGCTCCTAATCAGCATCAAAAGGATAATAAATACGATTTCTAAAAATGTTAGTACCAGAAGTAATACGCTTTTGAACAGAAAACAGCTGTCAACTTACTATAACCTACATCAGGCCCAAACTTACTGACTAGTTATTCAGTCTTAACGCACAGGCTCAGTCTCTTTTTCATACTAATTGCATTTCAGTTTCTTTTTCTTACAAATAAGACATCTGCACAATAAGAGTGAAATAATTTAAATATCAGTTCAGGTCAACACAAAACTCTGAAGTACTAATGTTTTCTGTGTTTGTATCTACAGAACTTATCAGATTTTTTTTTTCCCCAAAGTTAAAGTATTCATCTTCTCAGTGCAGGTGAAGTCCCTTCACAATCTGCTTCATGTTAATGAGAATGAAGAAATTCACTTAAAAAAAAAAAAAAATAATACTTGAAGTTGAAAGAGGTAGTTGAAACTAGGACAGTTTTGCCATCAGGAGTTTTAACTCAATCCCAAATGGAAACAGCGTTAAGACAAAATACCTACATTTAATATTACCATTTCTGTTATTATAGGAAAATAAATCATCCACACAAGGGAAAATAGCATTTTCTAGTGTCCAAAGCAGTAAAGTATCTCACAAATAGAGACTTTCTTTAGCAATCCTTCATCATTTCACCACCATTTTGAAAAGAAAACAGATGTAACAAACAGCCACTTTGAAGTATGAGAGGCAATCAAAGTTAAATAAAACCAGTGTGCTTTCAATCAAGTTTGGCAACTTCTAGGCTGCTTTTGTATCTGAGCTAAGAAATGACTTTTAGTATTTGATGTAAAGTGGCAATAACTTTCATATAAATTACATTATAATAAGTGCACCACTTAAAATAAATTGATTTTAGCTGAGAGTTCTTTCTGGTTAGTATGAAAAGCGTAATCAGAAGTAGAAAGTATATTTACTTCAAATTATAACTCGTGGCTACACTAAACAACAAAAAAGTAAATCTGCCTAGGAAATGAAGAACTGTGTGTAGAAATATATATCTGAAGATGTTCTCCTTGTTTCCTCCCAACAATTCAGCACTTATTTCCTGAAGGTTTTTTCAAAGCTTTACAAAGGCTTTAAGTAAAGGGTTAAAGCATCTCACCTTTTAAACTGGAAGTTTCTCCAGAGTTCACCAATGGTGGTTTGTAGTCCCAACTTATTTTCAGCATCGCAGTGATTCCTCTTTTGCACAGGAGACAGTTTCTTACTTAATCCACTTACTTTAGCTGGTATCAATGGCTTCAGTTTTGTCACAATATGCGACCCCACAGAACTGGATTTGCGTAAACCAGGAACCTGTAGCATTTTCAATACCGGAGTATTAATGATTAAAATAAAAACCTACAAGCAGCATAATCTGTTATTAAGTGTTTAATTAAAAAGTGCTTTACATTGTGTAAAGTTAATGCAATATGATTTCCCCAAGAGCATATTTAGACAGCTTCTCTAACCCCAAAATCTTCATCTCACGTGGAGCTAATGCAACTGTGAGAACTGATGAACCAGCTTCTGTATATCTTTGCATCTTAAATAGCTGTAAAACTATGCTTCTTTGGAATGCAGTTGTAAAAGTTTATTGAATTCTTGTTTTCTCATCTATTCAAATGGGAACACAAGAAAAACTTTCCAGGTCAACTTTCTCATTTCAGAGAAGTTACGATCTGGTATCACTCTCTAGGATACCTACAATTCAATTTGTCATAAAATACAAGAAGAGAAAAGATATCAGTGCAATTAACCCAAGGATTGTACTTTTTTTTCAGATCAGTTTTCTTGTCTCAGATTTTTTCTGTTGCCAGCTCATAAAGGTAGCAGAGCAAATGCACAGCTAAGGAAATAAGGAGGACAAAATCTCTTAGCAGCTTGCTTTCGAGTAACATTATGAACGTCCAGCAGAAATTGGTGCTCTTTGGGCAGCACAACATCCTGAAGATATGCTCAAATGACGTTCATACTACACCTCCACACCCCCACACACCAAGAATTCCCCAATAGTTAATACATTAACTCTCCAAATATCTTTAATGCAAGAACTTATTCTTTAAGCAAACCATACTAAACATTATTAGAAATAGTCACATAACTCCAATCTCAAGATGAGTTCAGTTCGTGGCTTAGTTTTGTTGAAGAGAAGCAGGCAAAGTGTTATTCTAATGAGCAAGCACTAGTTTTCATAAACAGGTCTTCCAGAATGAAGCTGGAATTTAAATCTTAACATAGAAACTATGAGGATGACCACAAGATGTCACTATCATATAACACACACAGTACTTGTGCTTTGCAAAGAAGCTTCTGATATTTCTTCTCATGGTGGATGGGAAAGAAACAAGTAGGGGTGTACATGAGAGAACAAAAGCATCTTCCCTTGACTTTTGAATCTTTTAGCCAGTTTTAATGGCAACGCCTAAGGAATTAAAGTACCACCAGATGTTACGGTTCCAGAAGCTGTGTAGACAGGTACAGCTCTTAAAAGTGCCATGAAGACAGGGAATGCAAGTTCATTCTTAGACATGTAAGATACCACATAGAAGACAAGTTACTGGCACTCAACAGGAAAAGTAACCAGAATGTGGGCTGTGAAGGGAAGCTGGCTATTCTTGAGCAGTCTAATGTCAAATAACGCCTACAACTAAAACAAGTAAAGAAACATGCTTAGTTAAAACTTTTTCAGGTTTCTAAGTTAAAAAACTTTTTCTTTTAGAAGGGCAGGAAGCTGCTGAACTAGTGGACTCATCCACACAAGCAATGAAATGAGATGTATCTTGTGACTGCCTAAAATGACTGCAATTTGCATTGTAAAACTTACATTTTTAGCATTCCAGAGGAAAATAAAGTGGGTTTTTTGAGTTAGCTGGCTTCTTACTAAGCAAGTTGCAACCACGCTAGTCACAGGGAGCCTGCACATCTTTCACCTCGGCTCTGATAAAGATGAGTAAGAAAGCAATTTTCTCTTGCTAGGAGGCACATTGTTGCATGGAAAGACTTAGAACAAACTATTAGGCTGTGAAAACTCATTTTCAGAGTTCAGTAGAACTAGTAGTAAAATTAAAGGAATCCTTACCTTGATCTTTGCTACCATATTCTTTCTGTCAGTTTGAACAGCAGAAAATACTGGAGGCCTCTGAGTACATTGGTTATCAAACAGTCTTAAATTGGAGTCAGATTCCTTCAAAGAAAAAATAATTTTGCTTTCAAAACACCTTTCTACACTGTGTATAAAGTTTTTATATCCAATTACCTATACTTTATAAAGTAAATTTTCAGCAATTTTTAGAAACTACATGAAATCCTTAGTATATTTTCAAGGAGAGCGCCAGCTTGAGACACAGGTTCTCTCAGAGGACTTCTTCATGGACTTAAAGCAGAGAACAAAAGGTAGCCTACAACTGTAGTGTTGAAACTCATTGCAGTAACAGCAGTGAAAAGACTGGGGGGGGGGTGAGGGAAGTATAGACTTGATTTAAACTACTAAGTCAATTCATACTACACAACAGCAACAAACACCAAAAAGTTTTGCGAGTAGAAGTTCCATAATCCACAGGGTATAAATCAAAGGAGAACCTCACAACTTAATTTCTATCTTTGAGATAGAAAACATAAGAAAAGGTTGAAATATCTAGTTTTCTTACTTTTGTGTAAGAATTATTGTTAGATACCTGTAGTACTTTTGAAGACTCCAACCTGCATTCTGGTGGCTCAAAAGACTTTTGAGACTGGGAGAAACGCTGTGGTTCTATTAAGGGAGAGGATTCTTCATCTGATTCACCACACATGGCTTCAGTCTCTGCTTGTACCCCATTACTGTTATCTTCCTGAGATGCCATACAGCTGTTTCTTTGTTGGTGAAACTGCTGTGAGAATACAGTATGAGATGGACCAGGATTTCCTGAATGATTTCCAAGGATGCTAAGCCACTGGAAGCAACTTCTTGGTCTTTCTCCAGAAACTGATGAGACAGTCTTTGTTTTTTCAGTTTCTAAAAATGGAGATTCATCTTCAGCTACATGTTCTACCTCCTGTTGCTTGCAATCCTCCTCAACATCTTGAATTCTATCACTCTCATCCTTTTCTTTAAAACCAAACATATCTGCATCATTGCAGAAAAATCTAAAAAATTAAAAGAAAAATGAAGTTGAAAGCAACAGAAAAGTAACTGCAAGTATTTCATCTCCAAAACCTTATCCATCAATTTGATTTTTGAAATGCATTTGAAAGACAGATTGTTTTGACCATGGGCAAATCACCATGGTTTTACTTCTCCAGTCCCTCATGAAGGCATTTAAAAGACAACACAAAATAATTTGACTGTTTCAATGGAAAAAACAAGCACCTGTAAAAATGTCATTCATCGACTAAGAATAATGATAGGCCCTCCTTCTGAAAGGAACTAGAAATTATACAAAATTAAAGAAAAATATTATGATAAATATTAATTGATATTTAAATGATAATTAAGCTCTTATTGAGAAATCTAAAATCTATCCAGCTCTTTTTGTGTTATAGGAGCAGCTCTTAAGGATGGGTACTAGTCAAATTTCCTCCCTTCTACTTGATACAAGCTGAGCTTTCATTTGGAGAAAAGCCTGCCATCACTAACAACTCTTTTTAATTAAACTGAACCTCTAACTTAGAGAAGGTATGAGTTAAAAAAAATATCAATATTCAGATTGTTTTATAAAATTATACCTCTCTCACACACAAATCTTCAAATTATTCAAGGTAAAAAAAACAACAACAACAAAAAAAATGAGACAGATCTGTGACACTTATTTGTAAAAAGCAGTTCAAATAGCTGTGGTCAAATGCAACAAACTAAAAATCTGAGAAACTCAAAGTCTTTTTTCTTAAACTGTCATTGGAGAAATAAGAAACATGATCCGAAGGGAATTGGGTAAGAAGTGCTGTACCTGGTTATACTGGCTGGTACTCCTTTATTGAAACATATAAGCAAAAACCTCAGTAAAGATAAGTCAGTATACCAAGTTTTGCTTATTTATTTGGCTAAGGCAGCTTTATTCTTTTTTTCTCGCTTACATTTTTTTTTTTTTGATGAGTTGTCATATGAAAATGAAGCATGGCCAACACCTTGATAATTGATATGTAGAGACTAGACTATATTGGGTTGTGTCACAGCCTTCATTTCTGCAGTTAAAAAAAGTACCAGGCATTTACCTATCTATGCATCCCATATTGCATGTTTAGCACAAGAAGTTGCCCATCTCAGCTACAACTACAAGTGCATTGATACAGTCGCATAAAAAAACCCTAAAGTATCCTCTCAGCATACACATTATTTCAGTAGCCATGATACCAAATGCTATCTTGCTATTCATTGGAACACGTGACGCAAGCGTACCTGCTTCTTGTTCCTGGAACAATCACAGCATCTGTCTGTTTGTTTTTCCTTTGCAGAAAGGAAGCAAATTTATTTCTAACTCTGGGCAGAGAGTTAGAGCTTTCTTTAATGACAGAATTCCCTGAAGAATCAATGTTTTCTATTGCAGAAATGCTCTTCTGTGATTGACCATCTTCACCACTCTCCTTGAATTTTTTCGCTTTCGAAAATGAATATTGATTCAACAGATCTCCATCTGAGAGTTCTTCTAAATCTAAAGACAGTTTAAGAATCACTGAATAAGCTTGTTCTAGAACTAACCAGTTATGAGAGAAATGAACATTATTTATCCCTACTGCCTTAAAAAGTGTTCTTGACATTATGGTTCAGAACTTGCTTTTACTGTTACTTTGCATTACATAAGCTTAAAGAAACTTTAGAAAGGTAGATGAAAGGAGGACTTAACAGTTGAGACTAAGAGGAGCACGTATTATGGTTTCAACACCATGAAATCAAAGTTCACTAAAAGCTAGAAGGTATGTGTCTAGTAAACTAATTAAAAATTTTGATAAATTAAAGAGTAGGAAGACTGTCAAGAGAAACAAAGGTGAAAATGAAATCCTGGTAGCGTGAACAGAAATAAGGATGCAAAAGAAGAAATACAGAGAAAAACATATCAGGTGAAGCACAGTGGCCAGACCTCAGCTCTCTGATAGACTATTTCCATTTCTTCACATGCAACAATAAGATAGAAGTTAAACCACAAAATATCTAGCACACTTTTCTCCATTTTTAAGAACTGAATCTCAAAATTGAAATGGACAGTATTTTATAATATGGTAAAATCTTTAATACAATCTTCTGTTGTTACTTAGAAACATACCACTCCTTTGTCTTTTTGCAAAGAGCTCTTTGCCTGGAAGATTTAACCCTTTGATACTGATTATCTTCTCAATGCCTTTCGTTGTTGATTTCTCTGGTAAGTGAGTTGTATGAGGAACATCATCTGTACTAGGGCCAAGCTTGTAGTCTTTGTTCCAAATACTATTTACATGATTAGCACGTTTGTCATTCCAGCCATGGCTTCTTTGCTGTGTAGGCTATAGAAAAATTAGAAATGAGAAACAGGCTCATAATTTGCCTTCTAAGATTTCCTCATTTAGCATAAGAGCATTTTGACACACACCCATTGTTGACATGTCCATTCCACAGAAACGCTTCCATTTTGTTCCCACATTTCTTATGCTTCCCTGACAAATTCTTTTTCATCTGTGCTGCCATGACTTCTTCATTCCAATATGGCATAAGTGGCTAACTGCTCTTCTCAAAATTAAAGGCTTAATTATTACCTATATTCAGTAGAATGATTTTGGAAAATGTTTTCCTCATAGTTGAATTTACTTAGAAAAAATATACTCCCCAAGTCAGTTCCCAAAAAAATCTTAATTAGTTACTTCAGTAAATAGGATTAAGGACTTACCGAAGAAGGGTAGAAGTAAAACAGTCAAAAAAAGACAGTCATGCTCTAAGAAGTGAGGTTCTACTTGTACAGAGAGTGAGAACTAAGGGTTTGTATGCTACAGGTCACCTAATTCAGGGCCATCTTCTCTGGATACCCTGATACCAACATTTAGCCAGCATAACTTAGCTCAAGCCTCTGCTGTGACTTAAATGAATGCAGCCATGTCAGGAAAGGAAAGAAAACCCCTCATGCCTCACATGTATCTTAAGGATCTCCATTAACAACTTCCTATTCACCAGGAAATAATTTGTTCCTATGTCTACCCATACTTATGTTTACTAACAAGCCCATTAAAAATTAAGGAAAAAAACCTCATGAAACTGAAAGCACACCAAGCCCTCAGTAACACAGAAGATTTAACTCTGCAAATGCACACTCTTGGTTGCACAACTATTTACCTATGTAAGTTATTTTATAATTTTAGATCAGAAGCAAGTAGCACATGATGGAAGAAAACAGTCAGGATAATTCCAAGTGTAGCCAAATCACTTCTTTCTTTTCACTATTTTAGTTGGTGTTTAATGTGTTCAAGGGCCATCTAGGTCACAGTGTTTTCCTGCTTACTTTTTTGGAAAATGCAAAGGATTTGAAGTAAAGTGAAGAGTTACGAAACACCAGGATAGGAAGGTGACCACAGACCATTGTGCCACTGTCAAAACAAGCACAGCAATGCAGAAGACCAACAACTAGAAAGGACTACAGCCAGAGGAGTTGGAAGGCATGTATTATCAGAACTACAGTCAGTCAGAAAACAATGGCTCTAAAAACCATGCTTCTGTATTTACATTTTCCAGCATCTTTTAGATGAGATCCTCTAAAGGGCTTTACTGGTTTTGACTGTTAAAAACAGAAATTTCAGTTCTCAAGTGCCATAAACACAGTTAACTTTTATGTAAGATCCTTTTCCTGGATTAGAATTTATAGAACTGCCTGAATGCATCAGCATCTGGCATTACCTGGTGGTCTCTTTAATAACTAGATGAGTTGTAAAGCCACAACAGTAACTACTGGTTTGTTTTCAGTAACTACTTTTGTGTGCTGCAGAAGTTTGTAGACTAGATGTCACTTATACTTCAAAGAATTAAATTCTGACTCTGAGTGGAATATTAATAAAAGAGTTTTACACTGGATTGCTCTTTGTATCATACTCCTTCACACAATTCCAAGAACATACAGTTTCTGTACTAGCAGAATAGCTTTCACTGACAAGTCAGTTAGGAATAACAATCAGCTGTACTCTTCCATCAGCCTTCAAACCTGTGTTATTATCTCAGTATGTAGCTTTAGAACAAAGGTGTTACCTGTGCAGTATCAGGGTTATAGTTATCAATTTGTTCCATCGTATCAATATCAATGTTCCCAAGGGCAATTTGAAAACCAGTGCTATCTCCAAAGTGTCTGTAGCCATCATATTAAAGGAAAATATATCTTAATAGTGCAATAAATGAACTGTAGCAATGAAGTTAGAACAGCTATTTCTGAATTTGTGATTAACCATATATAGATACTAATAGTTATGGTTCAATATGATGTGACAAGTCAATGTATCTGCAGTGCTTGGCAAACTAAGCAAGCCTAAAGGTAATCATTCAATCATTAAATACAAGTCACTCGAAAATCATCATCTTTCTCCATCATCATCTTTCTCCTTTCTGGCATCTGGAAATGACAGATAGTAGCTAGCTTGAAGAACATACAAAGCTAGCAACTACTTAAACAGTCCTCTCTTTGTTCTCTTCATTTTCCATGCTGAAATTTATGACAAGTATCAAAATTACACTTATTTTGTAGTGAGACATATCTGTTAAAACTGGGAATGTTTAGATTATAAATTCATAGCAAGAATTAAAGCAATAGAGATTACAACACAGAACACAGGCACAAACTAAGCCATGAAACAACTCAAACAGTTGAAGAATAACCTGTACTTAGGAGTTATTATCTATAAAAGGAAATAGCAGCTACATAAAATGATAGGTCATTTTTTATTACTCAGTTATCCACTGTGCTAAAAAAAAAAAAAAAAAAAAACCCCAAACTTTCCTGTGCCTCCATAATTTATAATGCTGCAAAGAAAGAAGGATTTAACCAATAGTAGAAGTGCAGTGAAAAACAATGCAAGACACCACAACTGTTCACATTGAATTTTCTCAGTTTCAATACCAAAAGGATACCGTCCTGCATAAATTAGCGTTTCTGGATCAATATCATCAGCATAATCATTCAGAGGAACTAATTTTCTCTTGATGGGATCAAAAACCAACTGATAAAGGAATGTATTATTGGCTCGTGTGAAACCCTGTATGTATTCTTCTGATACAGTTATATTCATCTTCAAGTAGTGCCCCATTTTCTTAATAACCTGTTCAAAAAGAAAAAATTAACTGTTGCTTTTGAACAAATAACAGAACTCCATGTTTGCCTTCAGAAGTATTAATTAAGGACTGAAGGGCTTGGAGTAATCAGAATTTCTATTTCAGCAAGTAATAGAAATATAATGTGAAGAGAAGAAACAGTTTTTTCAAAAAACTCAAGTAATAAAAAGTATTTACATTTCACAATTATAAGTTATTTTTGTTTGTCATTAAATGTAGAACACATTCTGTTACAAAGATCAGCTTAAACAGGAGAGATAAAGCAAGAAAAATAGCCTTGTGCATTGTTTTCTCAATTCTAGCAGTTTATAGCACAAGCCAACACTTCATGAAGTCTTTTTGTCCAACCAATAAATATCTATAGGACAGGTCAAAATACTTTAGACCATTCTTCTCAGAACAGAGAAAGCTAAGAAGCACTCACATTTTCAATTCAGTGCTTTATATACAGAGACATAAGCTCCCAAATAGCCAACACAAAGCTACAATCAATATTACCTTTATAATATCTGGATTGTTAGCTAATTTTAGTAACTTGCATGCTTTAGCTAACCCAATTCCATGGATTGATGAGAGGTAGTCACAACCAGACAGAATACACATATAACGGAACTTCTCTTCAGTGAATATATTTCCGAGGTGCTTGCAGTTTCCTAGCCGAGCTTGATCTATCTCCAATCCATTTCCAAATTTGTCAATTTTCAAAAACACCTGGAAATGCAGTGGAAAAAATAATATTCACCAATACAGGCTCCTTGTTCTATTTGTACATATGCTAGTTTATTGCACTTAGCAGAAATAATAGAGGCGAGTGCTTTCAATTTCCACAAATTATTGTAACAAACTAAGTCAAACACATTTAGCAACTTTCAACTCTGCTTTTAAGATATCACTGAGAAGTAAGGGCTATTAGCATTTTCTTCTATACCTTTTTACATCCAAAAGCTAAAAGATCAGAATCTTCTGTAATGATGGCCTGAACCACGCCAGTCTTATTAAGGTAAGCCAACTGAGCATCAGCTTCATAGGGAGCAACAATACAATCAACTCCTCGGGCTCGTGCAGCCTGTACACAAACAGGAAACACACAAGTATTTAGTAACCATTTTCTTTATTTACCTATATCCCCCATCTGCTCCTTTTTTTTTTTTTCCCCCACCCTCTCCAATCTTGAAGTCCTATCTTTCACATTTAAAACCCAAGTTTCAAGGAATTTTAAGGATGGTTGACAAAACAGCCTCTCCTGTGCAGGCATGTATCAGTGTACACACTGATCACAGCTGCATGCTTCACACTCCTGCACAGTACACTCTCTTCAAAGAAAACAAAGCAATTTTTCCTATGATAGCAGTGGAAGAATGCAAGGGAACCTGGAAAGGTTTTTAAGAAGCAAGAATTTATTCCAGGAACTTGCTGAGGTAGGTATCTAAGTAATTTTGAAAATTCAAGATGCTACTTAAGTCAGTTCATGGATTTTAAAAGTGCTGTATTTAAGCTGACAAATCACTATTATTTAAACAATAGGGCACAATAAATCTGAAGTGAAGTTACCCATGTCTAACATGATCCAGTGTATGATGTAGATTAAGAAGAGGAAGTACAGGGAATATTTTTCTTTCCTACGTAGACAAGGTAGCACTGTAGTTGTACCAAAGCAGAGTAAAGCATGCTTACAGACTTACTGCATTGATTTTTTCATTTGATACTGTTCATCTCAGCAGCTCTGACAACTTACTTTAATGACTTCGTGAGCCATAGCATGCGTAACATTTACACTGCGAGCAAAACAGTCCCTTGCTTCTGAAAATTTCCCTTCCCGAAACAACTGCTTTCCTTTCAGAAGATTGGCTTGTCGCTTCCTGAAAGAAAAATATCCATTGACCATACTGTTGGTTTTTTCCTCCCTCCCCTCTCTCCCCCCCCCACTTAAAAGAACAAGTATTACAAAGGACCAGGAGATAGAGAAAAGCAGGCAAGCTGTGTTGCAGTTAAATGTGCCCCAAATCCATTCTACCGTGTAAAATTCCAAATATCAGAATAACTGCAAGCCACCACATCAACAAAAGACAACCAGATTGGCATAGTGAAATACACAGTGAGAAAAAAGCAACAACTCCAACTGAAACCAGCAGTGAAAGAGAAGAGTTGAATTCATAATCAGGATGCAGTAAAATAAGTGTAATGGATTTCTGGAGCATCTGATGCTCACTGATTTACAGAAGAGAAGGCATTATTTACTTCATTTCAAATATTAAAAATGGTTTGCACCATACTCAAGAAAATATATGCTCCATGATAACTGATAAACAGCAACATTTAATAAGAAATTCTCAGAGCTTCAGCAAGATGTACAGTTAGATAGGACTCGAATCCAAAGCTGAAGTAATTCTAGCTGTTTATTTGAAGAGAATGATAAGGAAGGTGGCATTAATTTTAAATGAAGTTATATTATGTAAGAATATTTTTGTCCACAGAGATCAATCAGCTGGAGTGAACTGAAAGGCCTTAACACATTACAGGATATAGTGCTCAATAGTTTACTTCCTTCCTCTCTAAAAGTACTTTCATTTATTAAGCACATTTCTATTTTTGGAATGAAATCTCTAAGAAGATGTTTGTACAATTTTAAATGTAAATTCAGTGAAATTAAACTAAGTTACAGGAAAAGATGACCAAAGATCACTGCCTAACAAGTTTGAAATTTTTCCAAATCTGAAAATGGACTGTGGTGTTAAACATACTGCTGTGTTGGCAAATCAATACTTACTCTCTTCGGGCCTTCTCTACTTCCTTTTTAGAAGGTAGGGTGCATCCATCAAATACCAAAATCGGTTTAATTCCGAATGAGAGGAGCATATCAACAAGTTTCATGCAGAAAGCTACATAACTGTGTCAGCAACAAGAGGGGAAAAAAACAAAAGCTTTTCATTGATCAGGGATCTTAACAGGCCTTACATCTTTCCTGTATCACAGAAAGATTAAGAACACATGAATGCCCTTTTTTAATAAATAAATGCTTCACCTCCCAGCTTAGGTCTGAGCCTACCAAGCTCTATTTTTGCACAAAATGCACTAAAAATTCAAGCAGCATTCAGCTGACTCTGCTACAATAGATTGCAAATGCTCTACATTATCTTTCCCTGGAGCCTTTAAAAAGTTTCATTGAGTGCATTTTTATAGAGCAACGGTGTATAAAGCCTCTAGCCACGGAACTATCCAATTCTCAGCTGATGAGTATGTGCTAACAGACAGACACGTAAATATATCCTCCCACCCTAAGCATACAGGCATGCTACTGAAAACATTCAGAGATAGGACAGTTACCCAAACTGCACTAGAAGTAGAGCACAGACCAGGAGGCAATCCTCCACTGCTTGCACAGACCAACCTTCAGTAAAAATATTTGCAGGTATTCCAGACCTTGCGTACTTCCTCAGACCTCTCATTTCCTCACCTGTTAGTTCTGTGGACCTGTACAACAGGCTCATTTCATCAGCGGCACGCAACTAACATTTAACAGCAAGTTATTCAATATTCTGTAAAATTATTCAGACGCGTTTTAAAGCGAGGAGGGGATCTCTACACTATTATTGAAGAGCCTAAGATTAATGACCATACGTCCACAAAGATAGATTTTTTTCCCCCCCTCATAAAATAGATATAGTTCAGAAGTTCAATTACTCTAAAGCTCCCACTGATGGGTCATGTTTCCCCGCTTTCTTTTTAATTCATTTAAAAACACATAATTTCTCAGAATTCCAAAGGATTTCCACTATTTTCAAAGACAAGCAGCAGAGCTGAATGAAACTCTGCAGTTCTCCCCATCAGAAGCAGGAATTAAAGTTTTGAATCAATTTGTAATCAGTGCTCTTTTGTCTCCAGCCAAACAATCAAAATCCCATGAATGAAGCTTAGCCCAGACTGGCTAGTATTTTTATTTCTAAAGAGAAAGGAGGAAAAACATTTCAGATGACAATCTAAAACAAGAGCTCAACTCGACTTTTTAAGGATAGGACAAAGGACAAGAATCTGTGCCAACCTGACCTACGCTGCAAAGCAGGACTTGCAGCACAGCCACGGTTTTTGTGTCCTTTCTTAGAAACGAGGCTACTGAGGGAAGAATCCACGTTGCAGGCAAAGAGCTACTGTTACTAAAAATGTAACAAGCCAAGCGAAAAAAAATAAGTGAAAAAATCAGTGCAAGAAATTGCTCAAAGAGGGAGGCATGTGTCTGTCAGAACCGAGCTGAAACTGCTTCAACTTCACTTTTAACTCAAGAACACCCAGACCAACGAGACCTCAGCCCGTGGAAGGGCCCGGAAAGAGATGTTCCCGTGACTTACTGGTCCGTCGGCTCTCCCCTGGCCAGCTTCTCTGCGCAGCCATAGGAGCCTTTGTGCAGCCAGCAGTACGCGTCCACCGCCACCGCCTGCCCGCGGTACTTCTTCACGTGGCCGGGCTCCGCGGCCTCCTTGATGAACTGCAGCAGCCCTTGAATGCCCATAGCGCGGCTGCGGGAGGAAAAACGCGCGGCATTAACGCACCCTCAGCTCAGCCCGGCGTTCGGAAAGGGCTGCCATCGAGCCCGCCCGCAATCCTCCACCCAGCCCTTCAAGTCGACGGGGAGTTTTCGAGCACCCGATTAAGGACGACAAGGCCGAGGCGGCCACCCCGCCGCCGCCGCCGCCGCCCCTACCTCGGCCCACACCACCGCTGCCTGGGAGGGGGCAAGAAGAGAGCGGGACAACGGTCCCCAACGGCCACAACCCCGCGCGCCGCTACTTCGCTGAGGGGAGCTGGGGAGAAGAGAGGCCAAGCGCTGCCCCGCTCCACTGCCGCAAGCCGCGCTCAGCCGTAGCGCGCGACCTCCGCCTCGGGGCTTTCAAGCAGCGCGCGCTCTGCGCCGTGGCCCCGCCCCCGGAACGGACTACAAATCCCAGCGTGCTCCGCGCGGGCAAATGGCAGCGGTGCGGCAGGTCGCTCTGCCCTACAGGAGGGCGGGTCTCGGTGCAGCGCCATTTTGATTGGGCGGCACTGAGCTCCTCTGCCGCCTTCGAATCCCCGCGCCTGGCCCCGGGCGTGGCTGTGGGGGGGGCTTTGTTGCCTCGCGCTGGGAGTGCCGCGCGTTGCTGTGGTTCCCGCCGGGAGCGGTGCGGAACCGCCGCGCTGCTGGCTGGGAGAACGGCGGTCAGCGCCTCGTAAGGGCTGTGCCACTGCGGCATTCGGCGCTTCTTTTCGGTTCGGTGTTTGTATCCCTGCTGCCCGGTCGCATCTGTACCATGGTGCATAGAGAAAGGATTCTGAGAGGTGTGAATTAAAGAAATACACATAGCAGAAAATCCACCATAGGCTGCATTTGTGTCTGTTGCTTTCTTACAGTGCTTACGTGCAAAGAAACTAGAGGAGCTAAAGATCGGAGAGATGAAAAAGAGAACTTAAATGCGGCAGCTGCAGGGTTTCAGAGATCTAGTTAATGGTTTTGGACATCTCGTGCGTGGGAGTGACTTGTTACGTAACCATCTGTAATACAGCTGCATTACCTCATGCTGCCTATTTGACACGTTAAATGCATCAGCTGCAGTTTGATAGCTGGCATGTGGTCTGCACATCCTGCAAACCGGGGCAGCGAGGGGCTCTAATAGCGCTCTACAGCGATGGAGGAGGAATCAAATGTTGTATTTCTCTTCACAATTCAGAGTTTGGATATCTGGTCCTTTCGTAATTGCAATCAGGAAATGAATTATCTCTACGTATAAAGTTTTCCATTTCTGCAAAACATGAAAATCAGCTAGCTGCAAGTCCATTCTTTGTTTCTGTCTGTGTTGGCCCTGTGGGATAGCATAAATGCAATAAATACTACAAATACAGCAGCATAAAGTCACTTTAGAGCATGCTGAAGGGCATTCTCGTTTTTGTGTTTCACATGTGGGTACAAACTATCAGATGGTCTCATCCTTGCGTGATGTGTCTGATGTGTCCCAGTGAGATCCTGCTCTCATCCTGGAAGAGCCCAGCCTGAGCCAGTCAGAGCACATCTTTATGTTTCCCAATGTTTGTGTTGCGATGTAATGTAAGCCGTCCTGACGTGTTAGTGTTGCAACTACTTGTCTACTTTCAACCTAATTGAAATTTGAATTATGAGCGCTTATCTTAAAAATATGCTCTTACATCAATTTTAACATTTCTGTTTTCCTTAAGCCGTTCTGCTCAAGAGATGAAGGATAACCAGGGTAGACCATACAATATGTGCATACAATTTAAGACGCCGTGCGGAATTCAATTAAATCTACTTTTGACTATTTTCTGTAGCTGGGATTATAAAACAATCATAAGGTGAACCTCAGAGTCAGAAACACAAATTGAGGAACTTCTGTTGAAGAAAACCAGAACCACATAATTCTTGACTGAGAATTTTCTCTTTGCTTCCTTAATCTGAAAGGATAGATACCTTCATGCTGAAGAGTTAGCATGATTACATTAAATCTCTAAAAGCTGCAAATAGATTTAAAGATTTGGAAGGAACTGGGGATCGGTGTGATCACCCAAAGCAACCTCTTTGTGTAATGTCCTCTAGAAATGAATCACAAAAGGATATCACAAAAGTGTGTCTGCATGAGTATGTAGGTGCTATGCACTAGCATTTATAAAAAGTATCTTAGATTATATCAATAATGTTAGTAAAGTCTTTAAAAACCTGTATTACCTAAGTTAATATAGTAACAGATGCCTGCTGCAGTCAAGCTAGACCAAGAGCTTGGGCCATATTTCAAAAGTCAGCCAACTGTTAAATTTCTAATGCCATGTGCAGACCTCTGAACAGGTACAGAGGAGAACAAGAGAGAAGCCATATCAATTTCCTGCATCAGTTACATTTACCTCATTATCAGAGGTTTGGCTTTTAGGCTGGTCACGATTTGTTCACTGCTGGGTGCACACAGCTTATGGAATCATTTTGCATTGAAAAGATGAGTGAATGTGATTCTGACATTCCATTCCCGTGCAAATCTTACTTTATTTGTGGAAGTCTGCTGAGGTTAGACCCGTGCCCATCAACTTCATGAGAATGCAGTTGTGGAGTAAAGACAGTTCTGCTAGGTAATACCTTGTGGAGCTCACTGATGTCAAAAGGAAAACAACCCCAGCTTAGAAGTATTTGAAATAGGTGTCTGTCAGTGCCAAGAACATCTGACCTTCTCTCTGTGTCCTCGATTTTTCCAGCAAAAGCAAAAGAACATGAACCCACGTTGCCAGCGAATAGCTGAAGCAATCTGTTCATGAGTAATCCTATGGAAATGAGCACTGACCTGTAATTTATGTGATTCCTACTGCCAGTGGGAACCTGCTGTCTGCCATTCTAGTGTGTTGCCAATGTTTTGATTTCGTCATCTGCCTCACTGCTGTGAGTTCTGCAACTTCATTTTGAATACTTGGGCAGTAATGCTTGGCTGTGAGGAGCTCTCCTCCCAGATACCCGGATTTAGGGTTGTTTTTTTGTGTTTTTAAGGCAGAATCATTGGCACAAACAGATTCCACGTGAAATAACAGTGTAGCTAGTTACGCTTTACCTAATGATTTCTTTTTAGGAGGAAATACAGATTTAAGTGATGGCAAAAAGGTTGAGAATAGTCACATATTTTCATCTTTACTAATTACATCAGCTCTTCTGAGTTGTGGTGTGGCAGTGGTGCTTGTGACAAGTTGGTTTTGATCTCTAAAAATGGATGCCAGTCCAGAGAACAAAAGTTCGCTGAGCCTGTAGTATATCAGCATATATATAATTTTTCCTTTTGTGATCTCTGCATTGTGAAATGATACACTGAAGCGCAGGTGAAGAAGTCTCTGTGCCAGCAGTTGCAGGACTCAGCCTGCTCTCTAGAGATCTGCTGGTTCAGAGTCCAGAGTGAAACCCAGCGCAGTGGTCAGTTCAGTTTTGCTTTTGAAGGCACCGAACCAGGAACAGCTTGCTCTCCCTTTCTTTATAGGTAGATCTTCAAAATACTCCTGCAGCAATTGCTACCAGTTTAAAGTACTGAAGACTTTTTAAACCTTGCAATAATGTACATTTATCTACAATATGGAGCCTGTTACAGGGTTCAATTATTTCTTATTTGCATGGACCTCTTCCTTATGGAGAAGACAACAGGTAAATTTTCCAGCACATTCCTCCCTACTTGCAGGTGTTCCTCTGTTGGAGGAGAACAAATGTTCAAATCCCCTGGGAAGATGTGTGTTTTCCTACAAAGCCCCAAATACCCTTCTACTCTGTATTACTGTGACTAACATTTTTCTTCTGCAGTACCTATGTGTTATCTAGAAAACCATAAACCAGTCTGAAGTCACCAGTTTCCTCTGCTCTGTCTGAGCCTGCATGGTTTTCTCCCAGTTAGGGAATCATACAGAGCTACGTAGCCAGATATTTTTAAAACAGGATCTAATAGTGCTAACAGCATGATTCAATCATTAACAGGAAATTGCAGAGATGCAAACAAAGTGGTTTGGCAGGTGATGGGAAAGGTACAGCTGTGTCACCACATTTAAGCTGAACGTCAGAGGCAAAGGCAGCCTGACTCCTAAGGCAGCTGATCAGCACCTACGAAGCATTGACTTCCTTAACTTGGTGTTGAGCCCCACTGTACCTCAGGTAAGCTATGTCTAGACTTATGTGGATCACTTGTGCTGCTTTTTGCAGGTGGGCTGATTCTCTGATAAAAAGGGTTTCTAAATAATAATTTTTTTTTCTACACATTTCTTGTAATGCAGACAGTGAACTAGTAGATAAAAGCCTATGTCTTGGGGAAACCTAGAGAAGAATTAATAATGCACTGATGTGGATAAAAGCTTATTTTAAGCTAGAAACTCTAGTGTAATGACTGAAGATCCTTTAAAACAAACAAACTTTATGGCAGCTTGTCAAGTGTAGGTTGTAGAATATCTTCATTGTTGCTGCTCCTTTTGAGAACAAACGTGGCACAGGAGTGGAAGGAAGCTCCATATAGCAGCTTTACAGCTGCTGTAATATATACTCTCAGGCCAAGTCTGGGAGGCAGATTCTTACAGTTCTTCAGCTTTTTCATTCTCTTCTTTGGCTACACCTCATATCCTCTGTATTTCCGTGGGTGGTGTGATGATAAAGGCAGGACAGACAACAACACAACACATTAATGTACTCATTTACAAACTCCTCCTTTGGCCTATGTTATGTGAAGCTTTTTTAATTCATGAAATTGAAAGTATCCTTTTCTTCTTCTTTTCACTGGCTTTGTTTATTTTACATGATTATGTGCTAGACTCTGGTTTTTCTATTAATATGATGCCTTCAGACCTGAAAGCACCATTAGTATCTTGCTGAATTACAGCTTTCCAAAAAATGTCATATTTACTGACAGCTTAGAAGAACCTTAGCTCTCTTGAAGAGAAAGGAAACCTGAAAACTAAAGAGAGTTGCTCCATAATGGACTTGTGTCTATGTATGATGATTTTAGAGTAACTCAGCCTGGAGAACAATGAGAGGTAGACCATAGTAGCACTCAATTTTTTATCAGCCTATTTTAGACAAACACAGAGATGGTCTGAGCTGACATAACCTCTAGTTTTGAAAGCACGTGGATAATGGAAAGATACTTCACTCAAGTCATTGAGATTCAGACGATCCTTCAAATTTTCTTAATGTTTCAGGGTTGAAAAAAATGGACGCTTAGTTAGGAAAATGTTTATTTTTATTATTTTGCTCAGATCTAGTGATTCTCTAGGGTCAGATGATGTGATCAATCTTTGTTCTTTCTCAGGGAATAAAGGAGATCCAATAACCTACTATTTCCATTGCCCTATTATTCTGACAGAATCCACTCTTTTGGAAACACTGCATCAATTACATCTAGCCACACAAAGTACGCTGTTCATTTTTTGCGTCTCTTGAAAGTCCTTTTATTCTTTGTACTACTTGGAGTTAAAGTAGAATAGGTTAACTAGTAGCTGATTTTTCTAGTAGCAGCTACACTCGCATATTTTCATTTGTGAATAATCAAAAATTTCTCTTTTGCTTTTATGCAGGTTCTGCCATATTCTTTTTTGCGGAGCCTTCCAGCAGAAAATGAAAACTATGTATCTGTTCCTCCTTTCCATTCTAAATTTGCTTCTGAAACCCACTAGCAGCAGAGAAGTTATATTTGGCCATAATCATTTCACTGAGTATCAAGTGGGCAACATGAACCTTATCCTCTCTGTCCCACATGGTGGGTCAATGGAACCTGAAGACATCCCTGACCGAGAGGCTGGCTGTTGGGATGCAGAGACATCTTCTTGTATTTTCTCTCATGAGTGTCCTCCTGGAAGCATTCAAAGTTATATAAATTGTAAAGTATCTACCAAACAAGACAGGTATACTATAGAAGTGGCTCAAGCTCTTGCTGAGGAAATCAACAAAATTACTGATGGTTTCTTTCCACATACTGTTATTAACCACTTACAGAGGTTCAAGATGGATGCCAACAGGGAAAAGGAAGAGGCCTCCTTCGGAGTCCCCCAAGCAGAACAGGCCTGGGAGGATTACATGGGATTTTTGACTACTGCAAAATCACAGATGACAGGGGGCCTGATTTTGGATATCCATGGACAAGCACATCCCGAGCAGTGGATAGAATTAGGTTATACACTTTCAAAAACTTCTCTTAACTCAGGTGTCCTCTCTGCATCAAATTCCTCCATTAGATATCTGGCCAGTCAGCTAGTCGGTGTGCCTTTCGAGACTCTGCTTGCAGGGAATAGAAGTTTGGGTAAATATATTGAAGAACAAAATAACAGTTATGTTTGTGTGCCTTCTCCATCCAATCCTAGCCCAAATAATGGGAACTATTATAGTGGTGGATACATAACAAAGACTTTTGGCTCCTGTCATTCTGGTGTTGTTGATGCCATTCAGATTGAACTACCACAGTGGGTGAGGGCACCTGAAGAACTTCCCAAATTCTGTAAAGCACTAGCAAAGGCTGTAATGAAATTCTGGCAAACTAACTATTGCAGCCAGTTCAAGCATAAGTTTCTGCCATGCTGAAAAAGGTTGTCTTAATTAGGATACCTTTCCATAATATTGTAATGATCTGAAACAACAGAACAACTGATACACCTAAAACATTTAAGCCTGAACTATAACTGTGGATTGTAGAGGAAAAATAGCTTCCAAAGGAATGCAGAGACATCAACAGAAAATTCACAACTAATACTCAACAAGCCAGTTAGCAAACAGCTTTGTGTTAGATCTAGCATTGAAAAGACTGCCTGAAAAATATCTTTGGAACTATCAATTGTCTGATAAGCTTTTCTGTTCTTAATTTCTTTCCTGTAGCATCCTTTGTTGTCTAGGATACAATAGGTGTCTATTCTTCTAGTTAATTCTGTATAGTGCAGTGCTTTAGTAGCTTGTCCATTCAATAAAATTGAGTGTCTCTGCTTTTCTTCTGAAAAAAGAATGAATTCATTCACTACTTCAAGGCAGATGTTTAGCCACTACCTGAGAAGAATGGCCACAGCACACATAGTGGTTACTTAATATGACGGACGCCTTCATCACCTCATCTTTCTCCTCCTTTTCCCAGTCTTTTATTGCTGAGCTGGACATTATATGGTGTAGGATATCCCTGGTCTGTTCATGTCAGTCATAGCAGATGTGGTCTCTCCCATCCTGTACACTGGGAGTGGGGAAAAGAAACACCTTGATGACACAGGCAACTCTTGGCAATAGCCACAACACAGTTCTGTTATCATGCCTTTTTAATCACAAATCAAAACACGGTAGCATATGGAATGTTACAAAAAAAACTAGCTTAATCCTAGCCAGAATTAGTGCATTTCTTACTCTCCAGAGACATCTGCATGTCAGCAATGGAAGTATTTTTGGAGATTTATGGCCCCGAACCTTTAAAAAATAGTCAATCACAGTAAGGTGCTTTTCATTCCTATCCATCAAGAAGTGGAGTGAGATGGACTTTTCTGTAAGTGTCTTGTTATAATTATGTTAGAATTTTTTTTGCTGCTTGAAGAACTGGGATGGATATAAAGATTTTATTTCTATGTGCTCAAGGAACCTGCTAAACTACTTGCCTTAAGATGAACATAATGTTTACTTTTCTTGATTCTGTTCTTTACTGAGCTCTGTCTCCACTGTCAATTCAGTTAGAGTGGACATCTCAGGTTTGTTCCACTGAGGATCTGTAGAAATAAAATGCAAATTTTCAAGAGCTAATAAATATATACCTACAGTCAGACCACTTTATAGTGTTTTGTAACAGCACAGACAAAAAAATTGTTGTACATGTAGCTCACAAAATAATTTGATCACATTTTATGTAAATCTGTTGTGGTGCCATTGGCTTCAATGTTTGCTCCTAACGTGTCAGGAAAGAAAAGAAAACAGAGTTCCACATTAATGTTCAGAAAAATAGCATATGTGCCATCTATTTGCACAATACGTGCCAGCTCCTGTGTTCATTAGGTTAGTATGGATGAGATACTCCATCTGCAATGCTGCTTTTAAAAACCATAAATCATATATATTTGAATGCTCCCTTCATTCCACCTAATGAGCCATCTAAACGTTTGGAGTCTTGTCCAGACTGGTTCACTAGGCTCTCTCTACAGAGAGAAATCAGCACTACTTCAAGTAGTGATTCTTTCCATCCTGTAATAGGTGGTGAGGAGACTGTGGAAGTTCTGGTCTCACTACAAATTAGGAACAACTTAGGAAGCCTCGTTAGTTCACAATAAATCTAAACAACAGTTTACCTTCAAAGTGGTATCAATTTACAGTTAATTTACAGCCAAAGCTTTGTGCAGAATCAATAGTCTTTGTACTGGCTAAAAGAAAAGACTCTGAAACAATGACTTAATGACACAAAGCTGAACAGGAGAAATAAATGGTTGGACTACTCACTCTGAAGGATGCTCTCTTCAGCTGGCTTCTTAAGCTTCCACCAAATGGAGAACAAAGTTGGGTTGAGAGTAAGTCAGACCACGTAAGAAAATTAAATTGAGAAACAGTTAACAACAGAGCGAGTACGCGATGTTAATCATTTACAAGTGCTAAGGACTTCTGTTGCTTGAACACCACAGCAAGAGGTGGGAAGCACTTGTGCTTACCTCATATATAGGAAGATGCCCAAATACTGCACCAGTCACTTTGCTTCCTGACTCAATGCTCTCCACAGGTTGTCTAGGAAGCTGATCAATGGAAACCAAAGTGAGTTTGTTATTAGCTCAAAACAGAAGGTAATGAAAAAATCCTATTATATACTATTACTTTTATTGAATAGCGTGGGTAGCATTCATGTTATCTGAAGAAGTTCATATCATTACTATGTGAAGAGACTGTGGTTTATGCACAGGTTTTGAACATTTTTAGATTAGAAGGGGATTCTTCTGCTATATAAAAGAGATAGCAGGCAAGATTCCAGCTTCCCAAGGGACAAAAATTCAACACAGTTAATAGCAAATTTTTTTTTTTTTTAAATCACCTAAATTAAATCTGGTTTAAAATACTTACCTAGCTATATCACCTATTAACATTTTGTTAAGTTCAGTACAGGAATCATTTTCACATTACTTGTCTGTTTTGGTGGATGCATGTTATTAGAGGACAGTAGAAAGCTAAATGAAGGCTAATCTAGTAAGACCTCCTTCCCACATGATAGTTTCATCTAAGGACTGTCAGTCTGGCTCACTTTTCTGGGCAATGCAAGTCACAAACACTTCAGCAACCAGTTTGGAAGGACATAAGAAAGACATAAGTGAACAAAAAGGCTTTGCTGTTGTAAACTGTAGGAGCTTCAAATTAGTGAAAACAGCTCAAGTACTTTGATAGTTCATCCACATTCACATGAATCCTTAGACTTACATAGGTATTATACAGACAGGGCACCAGATTCAACTGTTCTTACACAACATAACAGCGATTTCACCCTCGGAGAGGATCTAGTGGTCCTCTAACATGGAAAAAGAACGCACCTAAACCTTGAAATGGTGCAAATAGTGCATTTCTACCTCATCTGAAAGTGAGTTTAGTTTGAAATGGTGAATGCACAGAGTCTTTCTACAAATACGTTTTTCACACAACTAAGTGCGCTGCAGTAATAACAGTTTGAGATATCACATTTTCAGCAATGAAAAACATTCCTCAAGGAATTCATTCCAGATATCACTTATGTATTAATTACCAGGCGTTACCTTTTTCAGAAGGATTGGACATCTGGATTACAATGAATTAATTGTACACTCTTGGTATTTGCACAGCCATTGAATAGCACGCTTCTAGTCTGAAGTGCAAACTGAACTCCTCCATTTATTTTTCTCTAAGGTTAATGAAAACACATCAAAACTCTTTCTTAACAGAAGCTCCAGTGCCAACATGTGTGAACAGGCAAGTATTTTCCACTGTGAGTCTTCTTCTCAAATGACTAAGTCAAAGTGACACTTGCCTCTACTGGCTTGTCCCACAGTGAACTCAGCCACTGACTGCACACAGTCAATGAATACACAGATGTTATAGTATAGCAGAGAGCTTGGCTACATAGTTGACACACCAAAGCAGAAAACAGAAAAGATAGAGACACTCACCCAAATCCTAGGCTCAGTTATGAAACTCCAACAGAGCGGATCTCCAGAAGAGATCCTTCCCCATTAGTAGTCATCTCTTCAATGGGTCTAGGAGAGGTGCAGCCAGGCTCCACCCCTTCCAGCAGCACAGGTGAATTGCCTTCAGCTGTGCTGACTCATTGCTCACCTCAGGTGATCAATCAGAGGTTCAGGCCATGATTCAGCAGTTCCTATACAGACTGATACTGTCAAATTCATGTTTTGATCTCAGCATCAACATATTTTTTTCCCACTTCTCTTTTATTATACACTGCTGTGTCTACAGCTGCTGAACAGCAGGGGATCGGTGTACAACTGCCATTACGTTATACTGTGTGCCCTTTCTGCATAAATTCAGTTGTCCTGATTTAAACAGAGGTCACTTCAGAGACTGTGCAGCATACCTGACTGGTATAACTGTTACACAAGGAAGTCTGTCATCTTATTGATGCCTTGGGGTAAAATGACAGAATGCCTTAAAACTGCATGCTTGGCAACAAGTAATCCATTAGCTCCAACTAGCTGAACATTCAGAGGACATGAGTGCTGATCCTTGATATCACAGAGCAAGCAAAAGAAAAGGACTGTTTGGGCAGGACAGGGCAATAAACGCTACACAAGTGTGTCTCATTCTTGTCATTTCACCCAAGCTACATAGAGAGAACTGGTCACATGGAGTAATAACTTTCACTGACTGCTGTTTAGATCCTAGCTGGCCCCATTAGTGTTAGGATAATGGATTGTGGTACATAAGAGACCCACTGTACCACAAATTTTAGGAAAGGATGTAAAGAAATCATAGCCCTCGCTAAATATGGGGAAAGAATGCTCAGAAAGGTGTTAATGGAAGCTTTTCTTTTTTTGAAAAGTGCCTGTAGAGTGTGCATCTTTTTCCTTTTCTAGTCCAGATCCAAAAGGAAAAGTCTGATTTGTTCCCATGACTTTTAAAGGCTATGGCATATAAAGATGGAGGAGTTGCACCACTATTCAGTTAAAGCAATAGAAAGAACTACTATTTATAAGTAGGTGCTCACCACTGTTCTAATATTTTCACACATTCTTCAAGTAAACTTTGGATACTACTTGGATTTCTGTTGGTCCATGTAAGAATTCTGGGTTTGAGGTTTTTGTTGTTAATTGTAGGGGTTTTTTTTATGCTGTCAAGCCAAACAAGTGAATCAGTTTATTCTTTCTTCTACATTAGAATTTAGAAGTGTAAAACAAAGAGAATGAAAAACACAGAATTTTCATGGATCTCTCTGTTAATGCATTTTTGTTCTAGCTTCTCTACTGACTGAGAATATATAGGGTTATTCATGACTGTTTTCTAAATGAGAAATACAGTTGCACTTCCTGCTATGTTGCACAGAACTGAAACAAATCAGTATATACACTAGATACCTTTGGAGAAGCCAGAGCTTTGAAAAACTTCAAGTCCTGAATTGTGTCTATATGTTTATCTTTTTTTAAAATTGAAGGTGATTTAGTTGATTTCCACCTGTGCATGTAAAACAGAAAAGGACAAAAAAATCAGAAGCTCATATCTACACAGTAAATTTAAATTCAACACTCTCAGTTGACACTAAAATAAAATTATTTTGAAGTATAAGTTACTACATATGTCTTCAAAATATAATTTATATTCAAATATGTCAAAGTGTTTCACCAACACTTCTTCAATCCAGATACTGGCTTGTCATCTTTAGAAGGCTGGATAAATTAACTTATAAAACAGTCTTTATTGCAACTCAGTGTTAATTCACTGTCTGGTAATGTCGTTTTTCAGTTCTGATTACAACTCTTCTATGCCTCTGTAATAACAGAGAAGGTTCCCTCCGGTCCACCTCATGTACATGTACAAGTCTATGGGGCCAGATGATATGCAACCCAGGGTTATGAAGGAACTGGCTGATGTGGTTGCCAAGTCACTCTCTGTCATACTTGAAAAATCGTGACTGTCAGTTGAAATCCCAGGCATGGGAGCCAGCAGTGTGCTCTTGCAGTCCAGAAGGTCAACTGTATCCTGGGCTGCATCAAAAGAAAAGAGGGATGGCCAGCAAGGAGAGGAAGGTGATTGTCCTCCTCTACTCTGCCCTCGTGATATCCCCCATCTGGAGTACTGTGTCCAAGCCTGGGGCTCCCAGGATGAGCTGTTAGCATTTCCAGAGGTTCCTGACTATTTGCTGCCTGTTCAAAAAGACTGTAGGGATTAGTCCTTCAAACACGATCAAGAACTTCTCTTTACTGATGAGTTACTGTTCTGACTTCAGCAGGACTACTCACATTAGTAAGAATTCTGTGTAAGAATAAGTTAGCAGGAAAACAACCTAAATGGCCTATCAGTAAAGGATCTTGGAACTTTCCCATCATCTCAGAGTTCTTTGGTTAAAAGCCAGCCTAAAAATGCACATAATACACGAAACCTTATAATTAAAGCCTGTTTGACTTCTTTAAGCCATGCAGTAACTTTTCAGTTTGTCAATAACAGCCACGCGCATTTTGCTTCTGTGTTCCCTCAAAACGCTGGTTAATGAAACAGGGAGATCTGGGACTTATTACAGTCTAAGCTACAGGACTAAGGTTCTCCAGCTTGACTTCTAGCCAAGCCACAACCCTTGAGAACTCTGCCTAGAAGGAAAGAGGCCCAACACTGCCATTGAGCATACAAAATTTATGTCAGTGTCAGTGCATTAGGATTGAAGGTGAATCCTTCAATTAGGATATGAATGTGAATGTACCTACAATAATATCCCAGCAAACTTAATTATAGCGTCTTTTAAATGGAAGTATTGTTTTTAGTTTGAAAATGTTCACAGTAAGCTTTTCTAATTAAGTTTTGGGTATCCCAGAAGTATAACTGCTTGCAGAACTGAAAAAAAATAGGTTACTAACCTGAACAGTGTAGATAACATGCAAACTGTAATTAGGCTAAAACCAGAGGTGATTATCTAGTTGTTACTATTATTCAATTCAAACCTTGATGATCACCTAGTCGTGATAGTCACCTAGTTACAAAAATATTGAGATTTATCCATGGTTTGTAAAACCTTTTTTCCAAAAAGGATTATACTAGTTCCTCATGGGAAACAATTTTACTTTTCTGACCTTCAAATAAAAGGTGCTCTGTAAGTATCATATTTCAGAATTATTCCCCACTTATGCATGTATGTAAATATTTGAGATCTTACTTGTCTTTGTCCGGTATGCTCTTCTTTTCCATATGCTTGCTTTCCTCTTTCAGTATCATAGGAACATCTTTAACATCACAAGGCAAAATCAATCGACTGAGATCTGATAATTCAAATTTCCTGGGCTGTCCAAAGTAACCAAGATAGCATCCATTCATAGCATGCCAGAGTCTACGGATATAGTAAAAGCAGTTCCAAAGAACAGAAAGGAAAGTTAATGCTTTTAGAAGTGGAGCAAGAGTGAAAATACATTATCAGGTTCTGCTGCACTGCTCTAGAATGCAGTATGTTAGCTAAAAAAATGTCAATGAAAATGAAGTTCTCTGTTTACCATGTAAGTAACTTGAGAGCAAAAATTCTCAGGATGTTGTAAATGTCAGAAAACAAATAAATAGTTCATTATAATTAAACTGTGGAACAAAGGCACCAATATCCTGAACTGCTCCAACAGTAAGGTGCCCTCACCACAGCAAGGTCTGTACAAAACTTCCTCATTGACTCCCTAAAAAAAAAAAACAAAACAGAAAAACAAAAAAGAAAGCACCCCTTCAAATGTACTTCTTAGCCCAGAAGTAATCACGCAGTTTTCCTATAAAGTGGCTTGAGATTACAATGGCCTAATTTACTGCACTCAATGCTGTGGACCCATGTTAACTTAGCAAGTGCTGAAAAATAAAATGGAATTAGAACAGGAGGTCATTTCTAAATTTATGGTATTGTTTTTTGCAGTCAAGGATACCTTGTTGACAGAAAATGAGTCTTGTAAAAGGTCTGACTTTCTGAGAAAAGTAGAAGTGTTTACGTTAAAAACTTATTCTTACAGATACAGAACAGAAAATGTGCCTAATGTTGTACTTTATTTGTCCAAGTCTATATGTGAGTCCATAAAGAAGAAGATTTTAGGAGGCAGCTCAACTAACTGGCCTGGAAGTAAGAAGTATTAGTTATCTTGTACCTGACTGAACCATCAACAGATGCTGTTACTACCACATTTTTCTGCTCTTCATAAAATAAGTCAATGACTTCAGCAGAGTGTGCCATCCAACAGAGCTCCTCCTTTATTTGCTGAGGGGAAAAAGCAACATAACCACATTTTAGGCAGTTCTGTATGTCACTGTGGTTACTGGCTTAGTGATTTTACCAGCAAGGCTTTCTGAAAATTAACTGATGATTTATTGTTCCCTTCACCAAAGAGGCTGCAAATGGTAAGTGGTAGAAATTCTGCTTAGAAGACAGGGATAAATTCATTCTAATGTAACCTCTTTTAACACAATAGGATACTGCTATCAGCTTTTTACTTATAGCTTTTTGTTTGTTGGTTGGTTTTTCATGGCATCAAATTATTATTTGATGACCTTTATGTGTGGGAAACCATTTCAGTCCCCATAAAGGTCTGAATCCATTTTTTTCACTACTTGTCTTATCCTAGTATACTATTCAGGTTAAGAACATGCCAGATTTTCCCTTACATTCTTACTGTTTTGTGGATCTTCTAAGAATGAGACAATGCTCCAGCACATAATATGTCCTTCTATTTAAAAAAGAAAAAAGCAAAACGTCAATAAATTTCATTATTGCTACACAGTTTCTTGTTGCTCACATATGCTCTTGGTAAACACCCGGCTGAATGACAAATAAAGAAAGTCACAGATCAGTGGAAATTCTTCTAGTGGGAAAATCACTATCTCTTATCAAGCACACAGAGTAGAATATAATACACATTTGGTAATATGCAAATACATACATCATTTTGAATAATGTTTCTGTAAATAAATTTGAAATGGAAAGAATGCAGAGTTCTTTCCTTGAGTGACAAGAGTTAACAACAAGAGTAATCTTTTCCAGACTGTTATCTATTACACAAGCTAGATGAGAGTTTCTGAGGATGAAAAACTATTTTTCAATCCTGGTAAAATGGACAAAGTTTGTGATTAATTGCATATATAGTGAAGGCTTAACGTTATACAACCTTCTAGTGCACTCAGGTGGAACTAGAATCAAAGAACCATTTTTCTCATGACTTGTGACCGCTCAGTTTCCCACCTAGGCTCACGCTTCCCTGCTGATGTCGCCCCCTTTACATCCATAATTTCTACTACTAGACAGAGGAATCTTTTGTGCTATTCCAGCCTTCATACTGGACACATCTGACTTTTAGGAATGAGCACTAACAAGCAAGGAAAAAGGAAAATTGGTAAAGGGAACAAGACATTGACATTAGCATTGCAGATAAAAGAGAAGAGTGCAGAAGGCATGAGAAGCACCTTCATCAGTGGCGCAAACACAAAAGGACTAAGGGAGAGTGTCAGATGAACAGGTAATAGGGTGGATGCTTTTCCACAGTTAATTAAAATCTTGTTCAGTGCATGCCACCTCATTGATTTGAATCAATGAAGACTGGGAACTCCTCTTCATTTTCAGCACTTCAGTCTCCTGCTCAGTTTTGAACCAGATGAAATTAAAAAAAGAATATAAAACACACAAACAAACAAAACAAGAAAAACCCAAACTTCCCAATCCATCCCAATGCTGATAGCATAATAGCAGGAAACCAGTAGGAAACAGTTCTAATAGATATTTCAGTGGCACATGACAGGACAAAAATCTCATATGACTGATGCAGAAGAGGAAAATTTCCAGGGTGAATGGAGAGGTTTGAAGGAGAGTCAGACAGGAGATAAATTCACACCAAATCTGGCTTTTAAGTCTAATAGCGAGCTGCTAGCACAGACTACAAGTTCTTTCTTTCCTTACATAGCTGTGTACTGTTGAGGCCATTATTGTGCACACCATATCAGTGTCTAAATCAAGGCTCTCAGTACAGACATAGGATCAGGTTTTTATTTAGTTATGTTGTGACATTTTTGTTTGTTCTTAGTAGCCTTTGGTATTACTACAGTAATTCAGATGGAAAATGTATATAGATTTTGTAAATAAAGAAAACTGTAGTGTCTTTTTGAAAGACTACTGATAATGCTACTAATCCTGAGCTTTAATCTACCAGCCTTTCTACCAGGAAATACCATTTTCAATCGTTTAATTAGCTTTGATGGAGAAAGTCTAGCAGCATTTGCACTTTCATTTTCATATTTCTGGCACATTAACAGCATGATCTTATGTAGTTCTTCAAACTGTCCTGAGCAGAATGACTAGTACATTCACTTACCCTTACTGCCTGCCAGAAGCATTTTAGTAGAGATGTCTGTACATATTGCTGTTAGAGGAACTGGATGATATTTTGAAAATGGCAAAATTTCTTTCAGTAAGTTCCCCTAAAATAGAATAATTAAAAACACATTTCTCTTTATAACACCTTCATGCCAAAAAAAAAGAAAAAAGCATCAGAAGTTAAGTGCTATTGACTTAATCTGTTCAGCATTATCAAGCTTATACCCATCCAGAGAGCTGCTGAAAAGGTAGTTTCCTAATCTAACGAATGACCAATATAGCTGAGACGTACTCTCTGGATTGTCATCTCTTCTTCATCAAAAGCACAACAGATTTTATTCTTCAGGCAATTCACAACTCAATCATACCTATCCCTACTTCAACACTTACCACTCATTTGCCATGAAATATCACTATGCATTTCATTTTCTACTGGCCTGTCATTTCTTGCTGAAAATACACACATGATGTCTCCATCACCAACCAGTTTTGTTTTCAAGCAAGTACCAATAGCCTTTCTCCCCTACAGTCCTCTCAGGTCTGGGAGGTAAGGGAAAGTCATGCAGATAAGGAGAATCTTGACAGTGTGATAATGATGTCAGTGATGACATCACCATCATTTGAACTTGGGAATGCTTACAGGAATCTAAGCACACAAAGTTTGTATCTACTGTGTTTGTCAACATTTACCATTGTATTGGTTTTGGTTTTTTTTACAAAACATCAGCAAAAGCTACTTCACCATCTTCCTTCTGCGTTTGCTGTTTTACAGGAAGCTAGGGCTTCCTCTTAGGCTCCTCGTTCTATGTGTATTTACTTTTCACCTCTTGTTTAGAATAACATGCTTTCTGGAGCAGTCCTATGGATTTGTCACTAAGCCATTGGCATTCTGTTTCAAGATTGGCTTTACATGATTACAGCTACAGATCAGACATGATCAGATACTATTGCTCCAAATTTGTAACCCTACTAGTGCTAACTGGCTTCTGAAATGCTCTGGCCATATTTCTCCTCATCAGAGCTCAGGATACTCTGCTTTGTGTATTATACTTTCTTAAATGGTACATGAAGTGAGTGAAAAATCAGTTCCTACAATTCCACATAACTTTACAGTCAGTTTTCATTATAAATAATATTTCTTCATTTTCCACTGGATATTACTCTGTTACCATTATTAAAGCAGAACTATTTTTTGTCTGTGGAAAAAATTGTTTATCAAAAAAAAAAACCAACCCAAAAAAACATAAAAACAATGAAATATCTACTGCTGCAAGTGCTACTTGAAAAGCAGGTTTCCAAAGATTAATATAATTAACTTTTTAACAGTCCAATCCCATCCCAAATACATTCAGAAAGCTACCTGAATACTCCATAAGTAGATGCAGCCATTTTCATGAGCAGAAGCCAGTATTGGTGTGCATCTTCCTACATCCCTGGGTAATTGTGCATTTGTCTTTGAGTACTGGATATACTTATACTTAAGTGCGCCTTCTGCTTTGGAACACAAATGATCACACATTTTCTAAAAAGCTTTTGAATGTACAGAAATTACATAATACTAGAAAAAACTAAATTTGAAAATAAATGCCAACATCAAGATAGCATTATCATGAAAATGCTGCAGACATGGATAGAAGACAACTGACAAGAAATGAAAACAATCTTCATGGTATCATGCAAACTGGCCAGCATTATTACTCCAATAACATTATTCAGAGCATAGCAACAGATTTTACAGAAACTGCACATGCTAGTGAGAATGAAGGAGGTCATCAGGACAGCTGAGAAGCAGCTCTGAGGCCTCTGCATGAGGGTTCCAGAGATTATTATAAATTTAGCAATTAAATAAGTTTAATAACTAAATGACACTTACTGATTCCGAAATCAGATTTTTATACTCATTTCTCAAATTCAAACATGAATTCAAGGTAATGGCCACAGCCTTTTCTGACTTCCTGCTGTGACTTGACTTCCCCAAAACTAGAGTTGCTGGGCATCCCTTGAAGGTCCTCAGAGGAATGTACATTCACTGGGGGCAAGACATAGCCTGAGTGTCTATTTCATTGAGCAGCTATGAGGCTTAGGAATATTCTGTTTTCAGAGCTTGCTTCCTTTGCTGAATGTATTTAGCCTAAAACCAGATTTCAGGTGACCGCGTTTGTTGTTACTGGAAAAATCTGCTATCAAGCAGATGATGTTTAAGGGTCCCAGAAGAATCTAGAGGATCTACTTCTCACAAAAGCACCAACTCCCTTTTCACAGCTTTAACTCTAGAGCACTTGGCTGCCTATTTTTTTCTGTTGTTTAAAGATATACTGAAGGTCTGCTCCAAAAGTAATTACTCCTATTTTATTACGTTGGCACATCAGAGGCAGATATTTGTGGTATGACAGTAGAAGTTGAACCTTCCCACCAGTATTCTGTTACATGTTGTTGCCATGTGACAGATGGCAGCAGAGGTGCAATCTGACAAAATGGTGGCTGACATGGAAGTGCATAAAAAGCAAAGATGAGTCATTTAATTCCTCCACATGGAAAGAATGACACCCACTGACGTTCATTGGCACAGCAAGATGGTGAGTGGTGTGTTTCAGCAGTGGTGACAGCATCAAGACAAGCTGTGTTCCAGTGAGCCATGCAGATTTTTCCTAAGTGCAGCACACAGGCTCTTGTTCATCATTAACAAAAACTAATGGTGGTGAATATGCTGAAAAAAAGTGTTTTGTAGCTGAGAATTTACCAAATAGTATTATCATGCTCATTGAATATGTTGCAATTTCCATGAAAATCACAGAATCACAGAATTGTAGGGGTTGGAAGGGACCTCCAGAGATCATCGAGTCCAACCCCCCTGCCAAAGCAGGTTCCCTACAGCAGGTCGCACAGGTCGGCATCCAGACAGGTCTTGAACATCTCCAGAGAACGAGACTCCACCACCTCCTTGGGCAGCCTGTTCCAGTGCTCCGTCACCTCACTGTAAAGAAGTTCCTGTGCACATTTGTGCAGAACTTCCTGTGCTGCAGTTTCTGGCTGTTTCCCCTTCTCCTGTCTCCACTCACCACTGAAAACAGTCTGGCCTCGCCATTCTGCCCCCCACACCTTAGATACTTATAGACCTGGATCAGGTCCCCTCTCAGTCTCCTTTTCTCAAGGCTGAACAGACCCAGTTCACTCAGCCTTTCCTCATAGGAGAGATGCTCCAGGCCCTTCACCATCTTTGTGGCCCTCCTCTGGACTCTTTCCAAGAGATCCCTGTCTTTTTTGTACTGGGGCGCCCAGAACTGCACGCAGTACTCCAGATGAGGCCTCACCAGGGCAGAGTAGAGGGGGAGGATCACCTCCCTCAACCTGCTGGCCAGGCTCTTTTTAATGCACCCCAGGATGCCACTGGCCCTCTTGGCCACAAGGGCACACTGCTGGCTCACGGCCAACCCGTTGTCCACCAGGACACCCAGGTCCCACTCCGCAGAGCTCCCCTCCAGCAGATCATCCCCCAACCTGTACTGGTACATGGAATTATTCCTCCCCAGATGCAAGACTCTACACTTGCTTCTGTTAAACCTCATCCTTTTTTTTTTTGCCCAGCTCTCGCTGTCCAGATCTCGCTGAATGGCAGCACAGCCTTCAGCTGTGTCAGCCAATCCTCCCAACTTTGTATCATCAGCAAACTTGCTGAGGGTGGCCACTATCCCCTCATCAAGGTCATTGATGAAGATGTTGAACAAGACCGGACCCAGCACAGACCCCTGAGGAACACCACTGGTTACAGGCCTCCAACCAGACTCTGCACCACCAGCGACGACCCTCTGCGCTCTGCCAGTCAGCCAGTTTTCAACCCACCTCACTGTCCACTCATCTATCCCACACTTCCTCAGCTTTGTTATAAGGATGCTGTGGGGGACAGTATCAAAAGCCTTGCTGAAATCAAGGTAGACTACATCAACTGCTTTCCCCCCATCCACCCAGCCAGAGACAACATCATAGAAGGCTACCAGGTTGGTCAAGAATGACCTCCCCCTGGTGAACTCGTGCTGACTACTCTTGATAACCTCCTTTTCTTCCAGTTGTCAAAATAAGTATGAGGCATTACTTTTGGAGCAACCAATGTACTATAAGACTTTTCTACTAACTTGATTGTGAACATTATTCACATCCATTTATTCACACTCGACTCGAGTTGGCTCTTGCTTTACCATTCCAAAAATTCATTGCTTGAAAGCTTATGTGGGAGATAAATTTGTATTACTGACCACCAACAATTCTGCAAGGTTATCAAATCATGTCTCTTTAGAAAAAAACAGGAATTGAGCCTTACAGATCCTGCATCCTGACCTAGCTTTCCAGAAATAACTACAAAGCAGGGTTGAGCAAAACTGAAGTGTATCATCCAGAAAACCAATGGTAGCTCAGTTATTCTAAACCCAGTTTACCAAACAAACTGACATAGTCGCTATGGTAATCTGGGCAGAACGCAGGGATCAACAAAAGAGATAATGAAAACCAACAGTTCTCCATACCTGCTGTCATCCGAGTACTGTTTTCATCACTTCTTGCATTTTCCTAGAAGCAAAGAGTAAAACGTAACAGAATTATAAAATGGAACTTCGGATAGAACAGTTTTCTAGTAGAAATTATTTCAAGAATTTATTTTGTAAATGGAGGATTCGATTTTTCCCCAATTTTTATTCATCCCATAGCATTTCATCTGAAGGAAATCAAAATCAGAAATAAAAAAATCACAGATGAAATTAATTAGAATATGCTAGGAGGATGCTAAAGGCAAATTTGGCTGAAGGGTATTTATTTTTTAGGAAAAACAAAATTCATCATTTATAGTCATATGAACGTGCTCTAGGTCTCTTAGTGAATATAATTCCAAATATTCTTATTGTCGTTCTTGTCCTGAGTAAAGATGGAAAAAAATGCATGAGTAGCCACTGTATTTATCATGCAGATATGCCATATTCTTCTGGCATAAAAGGACTAGAAGTATCACAAAACTCATAATGCAAAAATATGCAGATTGATATACATGCAGCTTGATGGTAAATTTAAAAACATTATCCTATCAGTCATTTGAAAATCCCCTTGATATTGCATCCAAGTAAATGTGGTTGCAACGTTGATACAATTCTCTTTTTATTCAAGTACTTTAGAATTTGTCTGTTTGACCTTCCCATTCTAGTTCTTCATGCTCCTGTTTGAAAGTCAGAATTGCTAGTGACAAGCAACTGACACACATTTTGGTAGTCAAATATTTCATGTAGCAGAGATCTAGCTGCCTAATAGAATGTTCATAATTCCCTACCTCATTCCCATGCAAGTTGAAAGTTCTTATTTTCTGTAATTCTTGATCCTAAGTTCTGTGCATGGCTTTATGGAGAGATTTTAGTAAAGTACAACATTTTAAAACCTAAAACGAAATTTGTTTTCGATGCTATTTAATCCCTGAAACTGCTATACCTACCTTATTTTGGTTCAAATGGCTGTTCTTGTGCTCTGGGAGATCATCAATATCTCTGTCAGTGTCAATATCACTACTCACAACAGCAGTAGAGGATAGAGAGCTAATTTTCCTGTATGAAAAAAAGAAAAACTGGGCAAAGATGGTTAAAAAGATCTCCAACAGTCTTGAAGATGCTGTTTGCTATCTGGAAATCAACATGATCCAGTGTAATAAAGCACAATAAAATATTTCTTGAAATAATTGGACTGACTAGACTAAGAATTGCTGGTGTTTTAGAAATTTATGCAAGTAACTTGGTAAGATTTACATTATTACACAGCCAAACTGTCCTATCAAGACTTTTGAGCAAGCAAAATCCATAGTATGTCAAAATTAACACTGGTATTAGTCTTCCAAAAGCGAAGAGGGAAAATTCACTGCATGCCAGTGAGTTTTTCCCTTTCATTTTACACAGTGTTTTTCTTTGCAAACAGTTTTCAGCTAATTACAAAAAAGATTTTCAGTTTGTTAAAATAATGCTGAGAAATAGGATTCTGTGGAAGGAGAAAAAAGTTGGATATAGTGTTTGATGTATGTTTCTGAGTTAAGAAAGATCAAGGAGACTCCATAACCTTCTGGCCACCCTGTGCCAGAACTCCATCACCCACACAACACAGAAGTAATTCTTGATGTTTAGATGGAACTTCTTGCATTCCAGTTTGTGCCCACTGCCCCTTGTCCTGGCACTGGGCACCATAGAACAAGGCCTGAAAGGCCTAATATCAAGAGCAGTATCAATAGTTTAAGGATAGGAAAGCAAAAAGGAAACCATTTGAACTTGATTAAATGCAAAACAATTTCCAGTGTAAATATGGTTTCTTGGTCAAAGATTACAGTAGAATTCCAAATGATGACCCTTGTCATGGTGGAAGTCAGTTACCTGGAAGAGGAAGCACTATGCACGAGGAATAACACAGCATTGACTCCTGATGCTTGAGGAACTGAAGCCTGGCTGTTCTCATTAAGTTTACACCTGAAAAATAACCATGTTTGTACTGAATATATTAGATATGTTGTGTATCATTTTCAGAAAACCTTGTACACTTCATTCACAATCTAAGAGTTTAAACACTTGATTTCTTAAAAAAGCGTGTCATCTACGGTTTTAGACAGTTTTCATAATTAGTTAAATAATTGTGATGGATTAAAGACAGTAAAAAGTAAGTAAAAAATGTACCTGTGCAAGAAAAATGCTAAATGGAATAATGTAAATTCATTCAGCCAAGTATTTTGTTGAGATAATTTTAGAGAAAACTGAAGTAATTTATGTCAATTTTTTTTTCTTTTTGTTCCTGATGAAGTAAAGGCAGGTTTTCTACCTTTCATGTTTCCACTGTGAATAAATAATTGACTAGACCTGGGTTCATGGATCATTCTTGTCTTGCAAACTGGAATTGCTCCAAAATAAGAAGAAAAGACTTCCCTTTTTTTTTTCTGTGCTGCAGAATATCTTGTAACATAACAGTTAAAGAACTCTTGTGAAAGCTGTGGGTTTAAAACCATCAAGATAGAAATAGGAATTGAGCCCATAGCTCCAACGTACTGAGGAGTACCTTAGTCAGGGGCTTACTGAGTGAAGAGGATTTTCAACGTTGCGGCTTTGTGAAACAAGGTTTTTATTTCTTCTTTGTCACAAGTATCTGAGCTAGGCATTTCTAATTGAAATGAGCATTTTCCCCTGATCAATTTTTGTACCTTTGAGGTGAAGAAAATGAAACAAGTTTTCAGGTCATGCTTATTCAAAACATAGTTTCTTCCCCTCAGTTCAACTTCCAAAAAAACTTGCACTAATTAACCAAGAAGTTTTAAATTAATACTACTGATCTATTTACAGCATTTGCTGGAACTAGGCAAAATTGATTACTGACACTCAAAAATACTTGGTATGGCATCTTATCTGGGCAGCCAGCCATCTAAATCACAAACACCTTTCATCAAAATGCTGCTACTGCCTAGTGAGTAGGCAAAAACAAACAAACAAACACACACTTTCTGTAACATGTCTAAAAGTAAGGATAGATATTTCAAAAGGAGAGTATTTTAATCAGACTTGAAGGTAAGACTAAGAAGATATCCGAAACCAGAAAGAGCAAAGACAGGCAATACCAGCAATATAGGCCAAGGGGAAAAATACTGAATTGCAAATAGATTGCTATTAGAACAGTACGAAGGTCAAAAAAAGACCAGAGGATAATACAGAAAACTGAAATAACAAAAATTATAGCTGTAGCCAAAACAGTTCTTTAACAAGCCTCTCCAGATGAATTTCTTTTATCTAAAATAAAAAGTTATTTAACTTTCACTGGTTGTGTCTCTTTTCTTGCTATTTATTGAATAATTCAGTTTTCTCTCTTGACACTTCCCCCCTTTTCAAGCAAGCAGAGATATCTGCCCATCATCTTCAGGTTTTTGAATGGAATACCTTTCCACCGTTCCACCTTTTTCATTTTCAAAATCATCAAGATCCCTGCTTAATCCCTCAATCTCAGCTCAATGGACTGTGACAGACTTGTTTCTGTCTGCCTCATTTTTAATGATTAGTTTGGTAATGCTGTATCATTCCCCAAAAACAAGCCTAAAGAAACTTTTTACTGAAGGACAGCTGCATTTCCATTTTGAAAGTACATCATAATATAATTAAATTCCAATCTGAAGTACAGAAACATGGTCTATTGGACATTTCTATTTCTCTTTTCAATGAATGGCTGGAATTCAGGTTCACATCTGTGAAAGTCACCTCCTTGCTAGTGAGAAAAATATTTTGACTAATCATTAGTCCAACCAAACAAGAACAGTGGGATGATTCAACAGCCCATCTACTTCAACATTTGTACTCAGAAATACCATAAAATAATGACCATGCAATATATATAAATAATATAAAGACCATGCAATCCTTTGAAAGGGCCATAAAAGAGCCTACACCAAGTCTGCTTGCCCATTCCTACACTGCCAGAAATTTCCATATGAAAGTGAAAAAACATCTCAAAAATTGCTTATGTCATAGCAAGGGAATAAGTGACAACCTCTTTTTTTTTTTTTTTTTTTTTTAGGTGCCTTTCTTTCCAAAAGAAATATGAAGAAATAAGTTAAAATAAAGAGCAAAATTACATCAGTCAGCAAGAATGTAATACACCTGTGATTATTAGCTGAAATGGTCTTATTTCCAAGTACATTCCCAAACACAAAACTTCAAAAATAAGGAAATTCTACAGCTCCACAGGAGTCACTAACCAATGACAGTGACTTGCTCAGTAAGTTTCCTTCAGTGGCAGTGCTGATATGTGAAAACACTACTCTTGATTACTTCATTCCTTCCACAAGTCACTCTTTTAATTACTTCTATTAACTTCAACATGGGGACTAGTCAGAAAAGTATTTTGAAGTGGGAGGGAGAGGGGCCTAGACAAATTTCTGCTTTAACTCCTGCTTGATGATCATCCTTTACAGTTGAGTACCTTAGAATTCCCAATATCCTGTTTGAAAAGTTCATATGAAATACTGGAGAAGAAAATTCCTCCATAAAAGCAAGACTTACATGTATTTGACAGAAGCAGATTCAAAATCCCACACAATTATTGCACCATTTTTACTTCCTGTAGTTATCAAGCTATATCCTTCTACTTTTAAAACATCAAAGCACTTCATTTCCACAGAAGGCACAAATCCCTGTAATGAACATTAAAAAAATAACTTTAGTTGGAACAGTATGGACACTGAAGAATGACTTCTTTTAACTGCTAACTTACTATGATGTGTAAATCAACAGCGTATACTACAACTGCATATTCAGTGTTATTCTAATACTACTGTATTTGAGCTAGGCAGAAGCACCAGAAGGAAGCAGGGAGTGACAGCAATGGCAAAGTCCCTCCTGCAGAGGCTGGAGGCCTCCATTTACCAACCTGTCTTGCTATGCAGAAATGTTTTCTGCTTGGTGTGAGCTCGGATTTGGAATATTATGAAGAGGCTGCTGGGGCTTGCCTGTCCTTCAGACTACTTAGTACACCCTGCATATCCCAGTGGATACAAATGATCCCACCAGGCAAGATGTGGAAGAAGAATCAAGATGCACCTGACAAACTGGAACATAAACATATTTGCCAACAGGCTGACAAACCTACTGAAGAGAGGTTTAAATTAGGACTAACAGGGGAGGGAAAGGATGATCAAAAATAAAGTGAGAAGGTTGTGGACCAGGTTGGCAAACAAGACACGTGGTGGTGTAGATATGAGACCTCTTATCAACCAAGCAGGAATGAATGAGCCTACTCTAAGTATATGAACATAAAGATCTTTCCACAGGACAGCACTGTGGAAAACGTTTTCACACCTTACTAGGGAATTCACCACAACAGGATGCCTCTATGATGTATGTACCTGTACACCAGAGCATGCAGCAAACATGCTCTGAACAAATAGGAATCAGAGATGTGTTTGCAGCTGCAGGGCTTGTTAAACATGCAAATAGATATCACTTTAACACTCAGCTTGACTTTCATGTGCCACTATTACTAAAGGTCAGTCTATCTATAGCACTGAAAGAAATTTGATTTCTAGAAGATTCCTAATACAAGGACTTCAACTTCTTTTTTTGTACAGGAGTATGAAGCATATATTCAGAGCTCCTTAACCATGGCAACAACAGTGCAATGAGTTATTAAGCAGATCTATCTCAGAAACAATAGCTCTCTTACATGATTTATTTAGAACTTCAGTGTACTGGAAAGTTTGGAATATTTAGCTGGTTCTTATCCTGTTGTTAAACCATGAAAACCTCAAGGGCACAGTAAACCTTTCACTTTCTAATCTTCTGTAATGGAACTTTAGTGTTTCTCACCTCTGCATCACTGCTTAGAGAAGTGGTATCAGGTGGTAGCTGTATATCAGGAAAAAATTCATGTTTTTGTAAAGTGTCTGGATTCAGTGACAGAAATTCAACTGAATTTCTTTGTAGAAACAACACTGCCTCAGGAAGCACCCACGTAACCTTTAGATATCTTTGCATTTCATTACCCTGTTAAAATAATTAAATTAATGAAAGAAGGAGGAAGATATTTTGTTACTCATAAGAAAATGGTCAGCAAGCTCATTTTCTATGCCTAATTAGAAAAACCGTTTCAAACTTTATCTGGCAGATGCAGTTTAATTTCCCATTTAAACTAAGTTAAGCATCTATAACGCAAGTTTCTTATTTTATTAACATGGATAGTATTCAGTTCATATCTAGCATATTAGCAAAGCTGATGGTAATCTCTGTTCTGTGAGAAGAACAAGCCATACTTAAGCCATTGCTCTGAATTACAGTCCTTCCCCACTATGCCTAGAGCTCCTGTAAATTACCTTCACAGTTTTTCCAATTATTCCAAATTCTCTTCAGTAACCAGTTTCTTATTTAACCTTAATAATTCTGTTTTGGAAAATGGTACTAAAATCAGCTTCTTAGGTTTTCTCGTGTTCTCACCGTTGTCTCAAGCTCCAGAACAGAGCAATGATTAAGATTTTACTAAGTCCTACAATATTAATTGCAACTGACAAGAACAAAAAAAGAAAAATATGGGGAAGGAGTGAAAACTGTGAGAGAGTATGGTAGATTCTTCCAAGGAACAAACATTTTTTGGAGCGCTACTCAAGTTTATCTTGCCATCATGTTTAGAGCCTCTTTAAACTCTCATAATAATAACCTGCATTTCTCATTATTACTGAGGCATTTTTACAGAAAAAGTAGTTCTGCAACTATATATAAGAATAACATAATCTCTTAGAATCACATAAACATGGAAGAGATTAAACTCTTCACCAATATGTCAGTCAAGGGGCATGTTTACATTACAGGAATAATTCAGCAATTCAAGTACTAACACTGCAGAATAGTTGGTGCGCAGCAGTATTTCAGGTACAGCTTCGTATCAAAAGCAAACTCTGAATAAAACAGTTTTTTAGTAATAGGAGGATCAGAAGTAATATATCACTTACCAGCAAGAGAGTTTAAAGCTTTTAACTTAAATAAATTAAGTACTGAAAGTTCTAAAAATACCTTCCTTGAGACTAACACAGGCTTGGCTAAATCTATGCTTCCCTTGGCATAATGAGCCTAGCAACCTTCTGGAAGAGTGGACTGAACGACCAAACTTGGAAGGGATCTGAATCTCTGTCTTAGCAGTTGAAGAGTGTTGGCTACCCTTGATTGTTGTCCCAGACAAAAGGCCTAAACAAGTCTGAGAACAGCATGGCCTAATAGCTGCTTCTCTTTGAAAAGAGAAGATATTGTCCAGATAAGAATCAGTTCATTTTAGCAGCTTCCTCTCTCACTTGTGTACATTCTATGCTCTTCCTGTGCAGTTGGACTAGCCTTCCAAAAGTACTCTAGCTCTTTCACACCTAAAAGACATTACTGTGTATGCTAATGCATATACCATCCTTGTGTTCCTCCTTTGGAGTTTGTCCAGAGGGAGGCCACAAGGATGATCAGAGTATTGAAGTACCTCTCCTATGAAGAAAGGCTAAGGTAGCTGAGCTTCTTTAGCTTGGAGAAAAGAAGGCTCTGAGAAGACCTCATTGAGTTATTCCAGCACTCGAAGGGAGTTTACAGACAGGAGGGACATACATACTCTCATAGTGACAGGGCAAGGGGGAATGGCTTTAAAGGAGGAGTGACCTAGATATTAAGAGGAAATTTTTTACTTGGAGGGTGGTCAAGCACTGGAACAGGTTTCCCAGAGAAGCTGTGGATGCCCCAACCCTGTAGTTGCAGTCAGGCCAGGCAGGACCCTGGGCAACTTGGTCTGGTGAGCAGCAGCACTACCCACAGCAGAGTGATCAGACATTCTTCGATTCTATATCTTACATCACAGTAGTAAAACATTGAAATATGACTGAGTTTCCACTTGCGAAGCAAAGCAGTTGTTAATGGTACAGCCAGTAATAAATAAAACACAAAGGATATAGTTATAACAGCTAGAACTGTGTAAGTGAGCACTGGTTGTGAAAATTCCAGAGCAGCCAGAACGAACTTACACAAACTTCTTGCTGCATCAGCACTAAGGAATGTAATCAGGGCATTAGGCAGCTGCTTCCCAGCACAAACATTACCCTGAGGAATAAAGTGGTACCTCCTGACCCTTTGTGAACTGCCAGCTCATACTCATTAGATGCACTGGGAGGGGAGCACTTGTCTATGGAAGATATGAAGAGTAAATGTCTCCAAGGTGTTCTGCACATAGCCATGACTCAATCTGCTCCAATTTTGTTCACTGTGAGACTCCTGGTTTCTATTTAACTTTTTGTTGTGTCATATATGCCAGCTAAACAATGTGTATCAAATACCCTATGCTGCAAAACATAAATTCTTGATTCTCTTGTTTAAAAATGAATGGTTAACAGGATTGAGAGTTACAGAATTCCAGCACATGATAAAACCTCAGTGTTGCTCTGCAAACTTTCTGTCAGTGATTCAGGTTATTGTAGTCCCTTTGCATCAGATAGTCAGATCTCAGCCTCAAATGTTATCTTATGAAGATGAAGAAGAGCAATGAAACAGTTTTTCAGGTGAAGAATCAGATTCAACAACCGTGAATGACTTCACTTATTCGAGTATTCCCATTTACATTAATCAGTAACGTGTACACACAAGTAAAAAAAGATCTGGTCCTCCAGCAAACACAGATTATCTTGATAACTGTTACAGCCTACTAGTAAATTGAATCAAAAGGCCTCAGTTGCAAAGACAAAATATTCATTTTCCATTATAGTGAATACATGTAAAGAAATGATCAGAATACTGAAAACACAAAAAGCAATGGACTAATGAACTTAAAAAGAAAGCTAACTTGATGACTTACAGAAAGAGAGTTACTTCTTGATAATTTCTATTAGTTCATCTACTGATTAATGAGAAAGTCTTATTTTACTTGAAAATTAGTAGCTAATGAAAGAAATAATAATAATTAGAATGCATTCATAGGTATATATACACATGTACATGTAATTATGTTAAATAACCTGAATGATTTTCATTTTCCCACTCTGTTCCAAAACAAGAAGAACATGTTGACTCTCAGTAGCCTTCAGATAGACTAACTTCAACAGGCAGTGTTCATTTTTGCTATGTTGGGTCAAAGGCAAGGCTTTAACTTCCTGTCCACTGCCAAAATTCCAAATTTTCACTGTTCCTAGGCAGGAATAAGAAACATACACAAAAGGGAATGAACTTTCAACATTGCTTATGCTTGAAACTCAGGAATTTGAATGAGGACAGGGAAAGGAGAAGAAACAAGAAAATCTAATTGAAGATGCAGAGCCAAGTCAATCACCTTCAAGAAGCTGTAACTGTGTATATGTTTATTGAGAAAGCAAGCTTAGGGAGAAAAAATATACCAAAAATCACCTTCACCATTAACCCCACTGTTATTTCATCCCTTCTATGCCCATTTTAGGCTGCAGCCCAGGTTGAAAGGCCACAGCCCAGTTCATTGCTGTTTCTGGATTAGTGTCATCAGAGAGCAAACATAATGGTGTGCAGTCAGGAGGACCACCACAGGCTCTGATATACAGCAAGGAGCAGAGCAACACATTTGTTGGACTTGTCCCACAGGATAGTAAGAAGAAGAAGCTAGAGTATTATCCTAAGTGAAGCAGTGTCATGGTTTCATGGCTTTTCATCTGTATTACACGTCATAATATCTTGCCTTGTCAAGGAAACCAGGCAAAACCATGACAGGCAGCTATTATTTATGAATCCAGTTTTGTAGGACTTGATAGCATTCACCTACAGTCATGCTTTTAAGATCCATAAAGAGTTCATTCTATGTTGCAAAGTATAAAATTCTAAACATTATTCAGTATTCTGTGTGGGGAAAAAAGGGCATTTTCTTTTTATGTGAGGCAGCCTTCATATAGCTCATATTTCAATAATTCAGGTATATACTTGAACATCTGAATTTGGGAAGAACTGTTCTTCAATGTTCACAGATTACAAAATTATTAAAGTTGCAGCAGAATTTGGTGTAGCATCAAATACGTGAATATACTGAGTGATCCTGTCACATTCTGTACAACTTATGCACCATAAACAACAGGGGAAAAAGTTAGGAAACATACACACATATTCTGTTGTTCATTACAAAATTGAACTGAGACATTATAAAATCAAAAAAAACCTACCATTCTCCATTTGGAGCCATTCACTCATAGCGCTATAGAGATCTAGGTCCAGAGATGAGGAGACATCTTTTCAGATCAAGAGCTTTGCAGGCATTTTTTTTTTTTTCCCCACAAAGTCATAGGCAAGCAAAGTAACAGAGCCCCAGCATTCAAAAATCACCTTTCTATGAATCACACAAATAAAACCTAACCAGGACAAAAAAAAAAAAAAGAACCCTCTACTTCTTCGTGGGAACACTTCCTCCCACCTTGGTTGAAAGCCAAAATTCATTCTATCACTGAGACAAAGCAGTTCAAGACAAAGAGTTCTGATTGCTTATATGCCATTTCACATAAACATAATAAAAATATGGGAACTATTTAGTTGGTTTACCATCACAAGCTCCAGAAGCAAGATAGAAACCATTTATTTCAATTGCTGCACAGGTCACTTCAATATTCAGCCCATGTGCATCTTCAATCTGGTATATTTGATATCCTGTTTCTAGGTCCCACACCTTAAAAAAAAAAATTGATCATTTGTAGTACATCCTCTAAAATTCCTCATACATTTTTTTTCTAGTGTAATTGTATAAAGATGAATACTTCCAAGAGTATATTTAAACTCCCCATGAAAAAAATTCTCTTATTTCAGCAGACTCAATAGCACACAGTCATGTTCTTTTACTGAGATCCTACTGCAATTTCTCCAGATTCAACTGGATTTGTGAAGTAGCCACTCATGTCTTAAGCACTAAGTGGATCTGATGTTCTTCAGCAACAGATGCCAAAAACTATCTTGTAATTGTAATGTGGTAGCCATCATGACCTAAAGAAGTTGGAGGTTTACAATGAGAAATAACATCTCATTGAGAGTAAAATATAGACAATTTACACAAACAAGCCTTCTGCCAAAAAAAATGATATGTATTACCATCTGTCTCAATAACAGTAGCTATATCACCCTATAGATCTTGCCACTTAACTTCATTAGTAATTAATGAAAACTATAGGTCCTTAGCACTTGTGACAACCAGTATCAATGTTAATTACACCTATAATGATTCACTGTATTTGTCTATGGGTTTTCTGAAATTTGTTTAGTGATTACTTTTAGTGGTTCAAATGCAAATAGTAAAACTAATACACGTATTTAATATTTAAAATAGCATTTCAGCAGTTAGCAGTGATAAAAAGAAACAAATGAGAGACATCTCCATCACTTTATTTTTCTTGTTAAATGGTTGTTATATTCAACACTTCTCTTTCACTGTATGACTGAAATCCTGAAGGCTCAGAACAACATGTTCTAAGAAACTGAAAAATAAAAGGATCTGCAGAAGGCCAGCAAATTGGCTCCAGATCTGCTAGGCAAACAGAAGCAGATTCAGAAAAAAAAAAGGAATAATAGGAGGATAAAAAAAATCAGGTTCTGTGTTTTGGTCACACTGAGTGCACCATAAAAACTCTCAATTTTACTTAAAGAATCCTTATATTTGAAAGACAATTTTAATTAAAGAACCCTTTTGTATATTTATACCTTTTTACATAGTCCTGTTTTCACAAAGTGACGTTATTCATGTTTCATACCAATCCACAGAGCATCTGAAATATGTTTTTTATACCCCACTGAGCTGTCTGGGACTCCAGCATTTACTGTACTTTAAGCAATGTTCATGAGACATGCCTTCTGGATGAAAGAATAGCATGCAATTATGTATCCAAACAATTTATGCAAACTTATTTGATGTGGCATTTAAAATTGTCCTTTGCAGCTACTAAATAGACAATAGACTTTTACTATTATTGCTGTATTATCCATTCTCGATCAGGTGAAGTGTACCAAAATATGGCCAAAGGAAATAAAAGCACAACCAAAATTGGCACTTCTGCAACCTTGCTGTCTAGTGCTTGCAGTACAAGTCAGAGAAGTAGTTTTCTAATAAAATTAATGCTGTTCAATCCAATATAGCTGATTTATCATGGCTATCACTTCCCTGAAGAATTTGAGCACAAAAATGGTCGCAAAGCTAACTGTTTAAATAATAAACACCAGGTGCTTAAGTAACCGCCCAAGAGCTCATCTGTAATAAAAAAATCTGAGACTTTTTCAGCTTAAAGGACAACTTACACTCACCTTCAGAATTGACTCAGAGCAGACAGTGAGGATTTGGTTAAAAGCCCTGTTATAAGCCAGAACATTTATGCTTTTCTCATGTGTTTTTGGGACCTGTTTTGTATCTTGTATCATGTGCGTTAGCGGATAAATATCAATGACAGTTGAACCTGCATGTAGTGAGACAAGAGAGAGCATATTTTACAGAAAGGTTCATACAAGAAGGAGTGTTCATTTGAGTTTTTCTGAAAAGCGTTTAAGGAATCTTGTCTGTTTTTTGAGACTATTTGTTCTTGGAAAGAGAAAACCTCAGTTAAACAATAGCTAAGTATTTCTCTGCCTTAAGCCACTTCTTTAGACATAAGATAATTTTATCTACAGGCAGTAAGATCTCTCCTGTACCTTCCTTTATACAGCACTGCAGGTCTGAATGAAGTTTCACCTTGTGGTGCTCCCTGATCAGAAGGATTGCAAAGACAGAAAGACAGATAGGGAAGACAAGACAAAGGAAAGGAGAAGGCTTTTGCAAGGCAGGCTTGCAATCCAGACTCCTATTTCAGTTCCAATATAGCTACAGTCTAACAGCACCATAATGTAGCAGCAGTAAATATGCAGCAAAGGACGGAATTGCATTAATTCTTGGCATGAGAACAGGCACAGGACTGCAGTTTGGAAAAAGACACAGAAGGAAAGCTGTGGCAGTACTGAAATGAAGCATGAAGGTGAGCCATAGTACATGGATGTTATGGAACAAATAACTGAAAATCTCTGTAAAATCAGGTACATAGCCATAAGAATTAATGTACCCACATACAGCCTCAAGCCTTTTGTCTAGTTCAGGAGCATGGGGATATTCACTTAACCTTTTAATGACACCATTAACAGAGTCCAAGACAACATTTTTACAGATATTTAGACACAGCTCCAATCAGTGTTTATAAGGACAAAGCTATCTCATTCTTCTGAGGACTTAGCCATGTAAAACCACTATGTTACTATGCCTTGAAAATCTCATGAAGTGAAATTTTAACATAAGATTCTTTCCATATCTTTTAGTTATTAAGCATATTTATAAACTAGTCTGAATAGTATTCTGATTTGTGGACTCCAGTTCAACGTAAGTAGGTTTATAACAGGCTTGTTAGCACAAATATTCAACAGAAGCCAACAGGTCATTGAAAACAAAAGATTTCATGTTCATCTCAGATTTGACAAGCTATTTGCCTTGTTCTTGGTGCAAATACTGGAACTAGATGTTTCCAGACACAAAACAATGACCTTATTTCTCCCAGGTTTCTCTAGCCCAAGGTCAGGCTTCAAAGCTAAGGAATCCAGGATTTCAGTGACTATGTCTTTGGGCCAGACAAGGCCTGCTGGTTTCCAGGTTCTCTTCCTTAGATACACCCATGAATCTCTAAGCCCTCAAAGATTCTGCGCTCCTTGCTGGGAAGTTAAGCAGAGCCAAGAAACATGGGATGAGTTCCCACAATTCTTAATTCCTGATCAAGTGGGTCTTCTGGCATCTCCAAATGGAAAGAGGGTGCCAGAGAAAAGCTGAGTCCAGGAATACTAGCAGCTGAGTAGCTTTTAACAAAGGGCAAGGCTACAGAGTAGAACAGGTAGCTTATTCTTTCTCAGAAAGGTTTGCCTTGCCTTCACAAAAGCCTTGATCATTTACTGTTTCCTGCTGTTAATTCCCATGCTGCATATTTTCACATATATTTCCATATTGAAATTAGCAAAACATGTAACAGGACTCACTTCAAAGTGGTCTTACCATGCAAATACCCTCCCCCCTCTGCACACTTCATACACATTATTTCTTCATTCAACATTTATGGAGACCAAACAGTGGATGCAAGCACAATAAGGCTGTGGGTGGTGAGTTTCAGTGATATGAAAGACAAGCCATGTTCCAGATGGCCATGCACAGCTGTCACACACAAGATGAAGAATGCCTCAATCAGCTCATCCATGCAAATTGTTGGATTATAAATAGGGAGCTTTGGATGGAACTGAACATCAACTTCAATGCACTGGAAATGATTGTGGCAATGCTAGAATATTGCAAAGCTTGCAACATGTGCATCCCATAGATGCTCACATAGGAACAGAAAGAACACCATATGCAAGTTTGTCAGGACCTACTGAACCAATATGAGGTTGAAGGTGACAGTTTTTTATTGAATTATTACCAGTTATGAGACGTGTGAGATGTAGTGTCACCACTACAAGCCAGAGTCAAAACAGCAGACCATGGAGTAGCAATGTGAATTCCCCCTTGAAGAAAAAGTCCAAGATGTAGCCCCAGCTGGGCAAATGGATGTGCACTGACTTTTAGGATAGGAAATGAGTGATCCATCTAGATTTCCACAAATCCAGAGAAGCTATCAAATCAGATCGCTATACTGGAACAGTTATTAAACTGAAGGCTCACATTTCCTGAGTCTGACCAGAGAAGGCAACCTTTCTCTTGAAACATAGCAACACCAGGCTGCACACCAGTTTGAAGACCAGAGAGCTTATTTGCAATCTTGGCTGGACTGTCCTTCCAAACCCACTTTATAGTTCAGATTTGGCACCTATTGATTTCTTCTATTTGCGTTGATAAAAGACAGACTGCATGGGAAACATTTTCCTAGTAATGATGCTGTCCTAGCAGCTATGAAACATAGGGTCACCTGTGCTAGTGCAGATTTTTATGAGAGTGGGCATGCAGTCTCTTTCTTGTTCATCACTGACAAAAATGCTCAGCTAATGCTGGTCATTACATTGAAAAAATTGTGTTTTGTAGCTGAGAATTTGCTCTATCAAAAGTGTCATTTTACTGTTTGTTGCTGTTGTAGTTTCCACGCTAATGAATAGGAGACATTTTTCAAGTGATCTATACACAGGGGGGAAGCTCTCACACATTAGTTACAGTAACATACCTGTGATAAGTGTGCCACAAGCATTGTCAAATACCATGGCAAGGGTCTCAATCGCTCTCGGACATCCTTGATCCTGGAAGACCTGCAGTATTGAAAGGGTCTGTAGATCCCAAACTATAAAAATCTAGAGAGATGGGGGCAGGGAAGTTAGTACAGTTGAAAATCCAGTAATGATACTATTTTTCATTTGTATGAGAAAAATGATATAGCATCCAATGAAAGTCACATTGTTAAGTGCGTTACATCTGAAAATAAGCAAGACAAATACCTAAGGCATTTTTCATCATGATTTCAATGAGAATAAAAGGCATAGAAAGGCTAAGATTTGCAATGTTGACCTGAGAACGAGATGAGCTAAGAGCCATCAACACCAACATAGAACATAGAACTCTGAGAAACAAACACGAACGTGACATCTGTCAAAATCAAAATGAAAACAGTAACAGTCAAATCCATTTCTGACAATTCAGAAAACTCAAATCTCTAATTTTAATCCCTCTTTATTAGAAGGATATTTGAAAGCAAAATTCCGCTCTGAGAACTATTTTCCTTGCAAATTTGGAACTAGATTTTTTTTTTTTTAATATTAGGGATTTCTGCAGTCTTATGTCTGTCTGTTTGCTTATGTACAAGCTTAAATATTTCTATTCAGAAACAAAAATAAAATAATCACCTTATACATTTAAACAGACAAAGTAAATGTTTCTCCAAAACACACCCAGAAAGTTGTACTCTGAGACATAACAAGAGTTTTGACTTTTTCAGTTTTCCTCATTATATTCAATTTCTTTCTTCATTTAGAATTCTATTTATTCTATTCACATTGTTTGTGCCCATTATAATCCATAGGCAGTATTCTCAATCCTTAAACATGTTTTCGATAATTAAGAACACTTCACTTATGCGTTTGTAAATGCTTTGAAAACTTCAGTGCAATTGTTAGGAATACTTCAATGATTACTTCAGAAGAGATACGTTCTACAACTGAACTTACATTTCTTACTCTGTATGCAATAAAGTACTGAAGTATAAATCTTTCCACTTAAAATACAATCTCAGCATAGAAAAAGTATCATGAAAGAAATAAAGTAGAAGACTGTTCACTGTTTGCAAAATAAAAATGAGTATAAAGTATTAAAAGCAAGAGTAATGGACACAAGTTATTCAGGATTATGCAGTATCAAGAAGGGAGAAGATACACAGATTTAGAGATCATTGGAATTTCCATCCAAAACCTGATTTTAAAGAAATTTACAGAGGATCCAGAAAAATTTTGAAAAAGGAGAGAAAAGAAATAGATACACCAGTTTGAACTGATCACTTCTGACACTAGAGGAAAATTCATATAGAAGTGTTTCAGGATTTTGAGTAACAAGGAAATTTGAATGTCCTGTTTATTTTCAGGAAAACAAAAAAGGAAAAGTACAGGAAATTGTACTGATTCAGAACCATGTCCATCATATTTCTGCCCAGAGAGGCTGTGGATGCCCCATCCCTGGAGGCATTCAAGGCCAGGCTGGATGTGGCTCTGGGCAGCCTGGTCTGGTGGTTGGCGACCCTGCCCATGGCAGGGGATTGAAACTAGATGATCTTTGAGGTCCTTTTCAACCCAGGCCATTCTGTGATATTTCTCTAATAGATTTCTGACTATTTGAGAAATTTACTCAGGCATGCAATTGCTGAATCATACAAAAAGAGCCTTTTGAAGGAATAGCCAGTGAGAGTGTTTGAAGAAAACTTGGTTAAATAGAGAAAACTATGAAGCTGTTTGTTCACCTAGAAAAAAAAAGTGGAGAAGCAAAAATACAAAGAAGAATTGGTGATGGAAGTTGAAAAAATTAGGGCAATATTGAAGGTAAATCTCCAAGCTGATTTCTGGCCCAATCACAATTAGGTGTAAAAACAGCTCTAAGAACACAATATTAATCAGAAGTAAGTATCAATGGAGATACTCAAGTCAGGTGAAAAGAATAAGGCCTTGAACAGAGACCTTCCTGTAAATACCTATTAAATTAATATTCTATTAAAAATTGGAATAAAACTGCAGATACACAATTTTAATAGTATCATGTTTTTTTTTCCAAGCAAAATCGGTCAGACAAAACATAAGTTTGACATTTTATCACAGCAGTAAATCACAGATAAAATGATTTTACAGCACAAGTGAATACAAGCAAAAACCTGGTCATTAATAAATCTCTTCCTTCCACTCACCCTTTCTTCTTTTTGTGGGCAGGAGATGGGGAGATAACATAAACCACTGTTTCATATAAGTAACTTTAACACAAGGCATCACCAGCATGGCAGTGTGATACAATGTCACTGCTGCTCATCTGCATCAGCACATAACTGGCATGAATCCATGAGGAAAGACAAACAAAAACTGTGCTGAATTTGAAACTAGGAGGCCACTGGGGGAACTTTCTGAGGAACATTTTAAAAAAAACTGTTCTATTTAATAAAGAACTTCTGAATCATGGTAAGCATTGGGAAACACTGAAGCCCTTTGAAGACATACTCTTTATGGCAAAATGCTTTTTGACTGTGTCTTGTGAAATCACACACAGACTATTTTTGAGAAAACAAAATCAGAGTGGAGGCAGAGTGCAGAAAGAAGGATCTTCAATTGCTGTTGAAAATTGTTTTCCTTCTTCACACTGTTTCCACCATACAGGAAAACTTAAGCTACATTAACAGTGATACTGCCTGCAGTGCTGACTTAAATGAAAAATACTTGTTGGCTCAGTTCTAGTATATTAGCAGAATTAGCATTGACCCATGGACATTCCTTTTGCATATAGATGTTGTAGTCCAAAATGGTGCAGAGATTCTTCTTAAGGGATTTCATTTGCTACACAGCTTACCTACTTCAGTGTGTCATTGAAGGTTCCATGCTGCAAGTGAAAAAGTTACAAACTCATATCCAAAGTCCAAACCCTCAAAGAAAAATCATCAGGCATGAAGCAGAGGTCAAACTGCAGCTCTGCTTGCCATGTTATTTAATAGAGTAAGTTACCCGTGGAGTTCAGTTTTGCATCCTGTGATCTCTGAAGGTGATCTTATAAAGTACTACAACTCCCCGTAGTTATTAGAAGACTTAAAAACAAATTGATGTCAGTGGGATTACTTTTGAGGCAAAGACAAGGAGGATTTAGTTCTAAGCATATTAACACAACATGATGCAGCAGCTGATTCCATACCTAGTGACTTACTTAGACACTAATTTGCTGAAGTTCAAAATAATATACATTTCGAACCACTTCCTTAAGTAGTACCACAAACCTGGTAATACATAAGGCTACTTTCTCAGTCATTGAGAAATACTGAAAAAAATTAAACTGGGTAATAAGCAACAGTGAATCTGTTTGCAAATTAATGGGTCTGCAGGCTATTTACTAGGTCCTATACAGTGACAGATTTTGTAAAAGACCTGTATATCTGCCTGTACAGTCTGCTCAATATGCTGACAATAGAACTGCCTGACCCCTCACACAAATATGAAACGACCCTTAACTCTTCCAGAAAACAGTTTAAGTGGATATTTAGATAGTGTGTGGGTCAGAAGCAAGAAGTCTGAGGTTCAAGCACAGACATGCGTCCCTGAACACCTGGGTTGGGTGAGCTCAAAACAACAATCATGTTCTTCCTGCTAATGTTCAGCTCACCTTAGAATAATGACACAGCTCTCACCTTAGATGTAGTATTGAAATATTCTTCATGTAAACACCTCATTTGCATTTTAAGATCCAATATTTCTTCCTTTACCAATCAAAAAACAAAGGAACTAGAAAACTGCAGGTCTGCAAGTTCATTCTTAATGTAGCTTAATCCTTAGATCTCAGTTTTTGGTTAGAAAATCTAAAGAAATTAACACAGGCTGAATATGGCTCTTGATCTTGCTCTTTTTTTCTTCTGAGCAAATACAGATTATTTAATGCTTTAATAATCAAACATTTGCCCAGAAACAGAAAACCTACTGGATCATTTCCGTCATATATGCCTATAATATATGAAGGCAATTCAGTTATGAAGGTAATTCATGCATTCTCATAAACTGAGAAACAGCATTTTGGAAATATACCACCATAACTAGAACAGATTTTCCTCAAACAGTCCAACTGCACGCTGGTTGCAAGCACGCATGTATGTTATATGTCATAAATTTAGGTGCTAGAGAGAAAAATATAGGTTTAAGCCAAAAAAGCATATTTAAAATTAGTTCTAAATCCTTCTTCTTCACAGAATCATGGCTTGGCTGAGGTTGGCAGAGACCTCCTGGATCCATCTGCTCTACCAGGCTCAAGCAGGGCTACCCAGATCAGGCTGCACTGGACCACATCCAGATGCTTTTTAAGGTCTCCAATGGCAACCTCTCTGGGCAACCTATGCCAGTCCTCAGCTACCCTCAGAGTAAAAAAATGCTTTCTGATGCATAGATCATTTTTCTCGTGTTTCAGTTTTTGCCCACTGTCTGTCACTGGGCATCAATTAAAAAAGCCTTGCTCTTCTTTGATAAGAGGCTCCCTGAGCCTGCTCATCTCTATGCTAATTTTGCAGTTCTTACTTGCAGACTATTCAAGAGAAAAAGTAATTTGCATTGCAAGTACCAGGAAGTTGGTTAAGTTGATGGAAAAAAAAAAAAAGAACCTTCAAGAATATTTGACATTTGTGCAATATGAGAAGAATATGATATCTGGGAGGAGTAAATAAAATAAATTATCATAAAATCACACCAGAAAGGACAGGATTAACTTCGACTTTCAAAGCAGTATATGAAAATGTATCTGATATAGATGTAGCCAAATAATTTCTGTGCAGGGTATCTGGAGGAGATTTCTCAAATGCCTTTTTCTAATTTTCTGGATTAAATTTAATATTGTTGATGTACATTTTAGTAACAGTCCTGATTAGCAATGGTTTGACATAAATTAAACAGTGTACTTCCAGCTCAGCTGTTGTAATTTTTCAGGAAGATGGATGACCATATTATAAATACATCCTTAAAGCAATGTTATCTGATTTCAAAATAGGCTAGAGAAACATAGATGGTAATCTACACAGGCTTTGATACAATGACATGCTTGGTTCTACACAGGCAGAAAGTATTTGATTCCCCTGTGAGATATTACACAGCAAGTTTGCCATTCAGCAGACTTGGAGAGGAAAAGCTAGAGGCTGCTAGTATTAAGATTCCTGTAAATTTGCAAAATCACAAGATATACAAACCAATAACATGTCTTGCTCTTTTTACCTTCTGTCTTAGTTTCAGCTGGGATGGAACTGTTTTCTTCAGAGTATCTAGTATGATGCTATGCTTTTGTTCTAGGAGAAAAAACAATTTTCATAACACACTGATGTTTATTGTGGCAGCTAAGTAGTGTTGAACAACTTTGCACACCTTCGTTCACTCATTCCATCCCCTTCCCTGTCAGATATGGGAAAGAATTGAAAAAAAAGTCCCACAAAGTAGAGCTTGTATGTGTTGAGACAAAACCACTAACTAATATAGAGAAAAGGATAAGAATTAGGACACATACACACACACGTATGTATATAACAAATGATGCACAATTAATTGCTCACCATCCCCAACCAATGCCCAGCTAGCCCTGAGTAGCAGGGGAGAGAACTCCCACTCCCTACAAAACTCCTTCTGCATGATGTCATATTTATGGAATATCCCTTTAGCCAGTTTAAGTCAGCTGTCCTAATTCTGTTCCATCCCAGCTCCATGGGCCCTTTGCTGAGAATGGCCTTGGTTCTGTACAGAACTGCTGAGCAGCAACTATAAACATCAGTATGTTATCAACATTGTTTTTTCTCCTAGAACCAAAACGTAGCATCATATCAGACACTGTGAAGAAAACAACTCCATCCCATCTGAAACTAAGACATCCTTCCTGGATTCTGTCAGAATAAAAACAAGAGGAAGGTATGTTTTATAACAGAGTCAGTTGCAGTACTTTCCCACCACGCGTAAGTACGTACATTACTTTAAGTATTAGCTATTAAAAATGAAATTACTTTTAAAGAGAAAAAGGGCAAAGAAAATTCCATTGATTTGAAAATAAAAGTTTTGTGTTGTTTATAAGGGATAGCACAGAGTGTTATAGTAGGAAGGTACTCCTTATCCTCGCCCCATTGATCAACACATGTACTGAGACTGTTTTTACGCGTTCAAGCATGTAGTGCCAAATCTTGCTCACCTGACTCACTTAAGCAGTCTAATTCAACCACAGGAGTAGTTTTAGTTAAATTAGGGTGGCTTTCATCAACGATTCAGCAGGCAAGACAAAATATTTCTACCTCTACTATTCTAGTTCCAAATTCCCACTCCACACTAAGTGAGACACAATGGTTTTCACGGCTACACAGCATTTCAGTACCACTGCTATACCACTATCCTTAATTTTCTCATTTCCACTAATCATTCTGAGGGAAAAACCACAAGAACAACCCTCTTCCTGCACCCAGGTTTAATAGCCCCTACCTATGACTGTTCTTTTCCCCCCAGTGGTTTCTGAATGTATTGAAAGCGTTCTGCAGCATTAAAAAATAAAAATAACTGCTTCCAGTTGCAGCAGAATGAGCAAAATAAATACAGAGAGGAAGGGACAGTGTTGAATTATATATGTTGAGATATCTCACTCTATCAGTGAGACTATTTGTTCACAGTTTTTGTCTGTTCCTAAAAACATGAGAGATTGAGTTGCAGTAGCCAGTGAACATACAGCAGGTAGAAGCACTGCTGTGTCAGATAATGAAATTATTTACTGCTAGACATCCTTATGGCAGGCTAATAGGAGACTCTTAGGATGTAGCTACTTTAACAAAGAGCTTGTGTAGTATTTAAAAGTCTGTATTCTGGTGAAATGTTTCATGCTTTTTCAGCATGGTCATCACCACTGGCTATACATCTTGCCAGCAATGAACAAGAATCGGCATGCTGTACTTGTAAAAATCCGCACAATTTCTATTCACAAAAATACTTTTAATTACTAAGTTTCATAGCTGACATTGTTCAAAAAGAGGCTGAGAGTTGATCATGGTGCATAGAGTGGCAAGTATAAGAAAAAACTCACATATATATTTGGTAGGTTGACAAAGAGAGGAAAGGGAAGTAAAGCAGCAGGAAGTTGTTGCAGATGATTAGTACTGAATTAAGCATTCAGATACTGGTTTTGTAATAATTCTGCCATAATTCAGCTGACAGGTAACACAGAATATCAGAATTTTAATATTTATGTGTTTTTTTGCACACACAAAGAAAAAAGTCAAATATGTCAACTCTAGTCTTGCTACTAAAAAAAAATACGGAAATGTTAAGCTAAAAGCCTACTTTTTAATTAAAATAAACAGATTATCAATGAGATTAGGACTAGATGCTATCAGTATTGATTACTCAGAAACACATTGCTATTTTGATTGGAAATATTGATTTGAAATTAGGAAAAATATTTTACCTTTGCAAATGAAAGGCTGATGACATGCTGATCTTTTTCATTCGTCACGATTTCCACAATACTGTGCTGATGTCCAGACAGCTTTCCTGAAGGCCTAGTATTAACATAGGGATGCCACAAACGAAGGAGTTTGTCATGACCTGTCAGAAAAATATATATATATTCAAAAGACTGAATAGTCACTAATACTGTTAAGTAAGCTTCTTGATGGAGGTATTGGTGCTCATAAGTCTCAGCTTTCAGCGCATAGCCAACTCACATGAGAATACTAACTTTTCATTTTAAAGGCTAGATTCCAGCTTACATGTTAACATGTATTCATTGCTTGATCCCATACTTGCATTAAAACCACATAACTGATTAGCATTTTGAAGGCTTTTAATTTTGTTAGGGGAACATCAGAGGCTCTGGCTGTGATTACATATGCTGGCCCTGTAAAAGCTTAACACATAATTAAACAGAGTTGGGGTGTAGATTTTTTTTTCCCTCAGAGACCTTATTTAGAAAATGATCAAAAAAATAATAATGTCCACTTAGTGAAGGGGGGTGGTGGTCATACATAACAGCAAGGGGAGCAGACATGCAAGTTGATGGCAGGTAGGTAACTAGTGATGAGAAATTTTGTCTTAATATAATGAGAATTAAGTCTTCTCTTTTTATTTGTGTGTTCAAACATTGAAATTACTTTCAACAATAGAATCACTAATACTTGTTATTCTTTTTAATATCTTAAATTAGCCTCATTAAGAAAGAAAACCTTTCCCTACGTAAAATGCCAGGAATGCACAAAGGCTATTGGGCAAGCACAGAAGACTATTTTTATCAGTCTTGAACTGCTACTTTTAGACAAGAAATCACTAATAGATTGGATTTTGCTTTATTACTCACAGGGGAACAGTGACTGCATTTGAAAAATCAGTGGGGTTAAAAGATGATTTATCATATTATTCAAAGCTGGTAATTTCCTGCTTCTGTATACATACGTAATTTGCTTTTTACTGTAACTGTTTTCTGATGTAGTGACTAAGACATAGTTAGAATTGAAATAAATATAGAGTAAGAGGAAAACCATATCACTTTAAGCATAATAATAATGCAAAATATTACACAAAAGTTACTCTAAACTACCATGGACTCTATATTTTAGGCCACTAATGGGATTATATCATTTCATTCATAAAAGAAATACGGGTTTAAGCAACAAAAGTGAACTCTGCATCAGTTTTGCTTGTATCTTTCTCATTCATTACCACAAATGAGAAACATTTGGAAGACAAAGTTTGGATGTATCACAGTACTGGTGAAACTGATTACAGTATTCAAATACAACTAAATAAATGATTGAAGAGTAGGAGTGTTAACACACTTTAATAGTCTCTTCCTAATGAAAAATGCATTGTAGGATTCAGTACTTTGCATACCACTTGTGCTATAAATACATCCCTAAATAAGAATAGATTGAGGCTTAGTAAAGTCATTAGCAAATTATTCTCCTTGATTACACAATAAGCTATTGTATAATCAAAGGCTGGACTTTCTTTTTAATTGCTGAATATGACAAACAATTTTCACTAGTGCCTGTACATTCCAAAGAAATCTTTATGTAACATTCCTAGACTATTTAGCTGCTCTGGCCATTGATTTTCAGGGTGTATTACTAGTCAACAAGACTTTACTAACTCAGGTGCCTATTTTCATTTGAAAGAGTTTAATTATGTCATTAACTGTATTTCCTGTGTTTCTCAGAGAGAATGCTGGCTTTTAAGTTACAAAGACAAAACTAGCGTGCCCTGGTGCAGCTTTGCAGTGGTCCTGTCTGATCTAAACTTCACAGTAAATTTGAAAGGGACTATCACATCCTTTAATTGGTTTAGCAGTTCATTTCCACTCTTGCCTATGACTATTAGCTGTACAGCCTAGGAATTCTTCCTTTTGTATTCAAGGGAAGCAGCAAGACTAAGCACTACAAATGAGGGTGAGGCAGGAGGATGCCTTCTGACATCAGTAAACATCAGTGGGCAAACAAGATAGACAGGATTCCAAATCAAAAATATGAGTGTAATGAGCAAGAACAAACTGGAAGATTGTTTTACGTAAGAATAATTGTTACGCTTCAAAGACATAATTGCAGACTTCTTGAACACAATATTGATCTTCTGTCATGTTGTTTATGCTTTGTGTTTTTTGCAGTGAAAGTCAAGATAAATTAAAATGCAGTGGCAAGACAGCCTATCTTACAAAAATACTCTGTTTAGGTAGTGGTTTAGATAGGATAGAAGGCCCTACAATTCAAGTCTAGTCTCTGGTCAACACAGACATATGTAATCTATCTTTTTCAAAAATTTCAAGCACCATTTTAAACAAAGAGGATATTTCTGCTACTTCCACTATTCAGTGGTACACAAGTATCTTAAGTATTGCAACATGACTGCCCTGTTTTTATACCATTGCTGTTCTTATTTTTCTAGAAAGTTTATCTAGATTTTTTTCCTCCTCTAAGAACAATTTTCAGTGTGTAACAGAAAGCATTACTTCTTGTGTATATCATCTTCTGCCATGCTCAGATATTTTACTCCATCTTTATCACTACAGTAAAATTCTCCAGTTCTACCTGCAGGAAATACCAATTACATTCCTATAGGGCTTCCTTACTTTACGTCATCATAAAATTTCTTCAGGCTTCGTTTTTTTGTGACAAATAATCAATCTAAATAAGATCTCCTCAAAGGATGTACTTCAGGATTTTCACTAATAGCCCTATTGCTTTCCCTTTTAATTTTGTGTCTAAAAAAAAAAAATCAATAAAATTTATGAAATCTAAAAATAAATATCAGACAAGATGGATATCATCTTAGTTTTCCCTGTAGTAAATTTCATTTACTCTTGAATTGCATTATTTCCTTGTCTAGGTGTTGCGCTTTTTCCCCCCTCAAATTTATTTTCATGTTTTGCTTATTATAAAGGCTGGGCAGCAGAGCCTTGGCCATTTTCACCAACAGACAGCATCGCTGTAGTCACTCCAAAGCACTACTATATCAAACAGAATACACTAAGACTGCTGCCATACTCTAGATGCATTCCTACAGAATGAAATATGACCACTGCAATAAAAAAGCTCCTAAAATATTAGATAATGGAAATAAATGGTTATAAGAGTACTATTTTTGAGTCTCTATTGGGAGGAAAAAAAAAAAAAAAAAAAAGAACAGCAAAACTGTGGTGAAACATGACCAAAGAGAAAAGCAACAGAAAGTATTAAGGTGGGCCAGTGTGACTGCTTATGACAAGAAAGAAAGGCTAAGGAGTAATGCAAAGGGAGCAAGGAGAAATTTCTAAAACCTGACCAAGACAGTCATCACCCATAACCATAGCTTGGAAAACTGTTTTATAGTAGATCAAACAACTGTTTTCTCTTGTTTTGTCATATAAATAACAAAATCCCTGAATCAAACACAGACTGAGTCCTTATTAGATTTCTTTGAGGGACTGCATCTCTTCAGAGCCAAACTCCCAGCAATTATTGGCAGTATCTCTGTTAACTGTAAATTAAGAAGGAAGCCACTATTTGTACTCTTAAGATACTAACTCAGTTTTTATTTTATCTTTTAACTGAAAATAAAAAGTTACAACGAAGCAGTATGTTGGAAAAATATTATATAAGCCTCATACTTACCCCCAGTGACAATGACCTTTGCTTTTCCACAGTACGTGAAGGCATTGACTCCTCTAGGAACAGAAAATTCTTTTACAGGTCTGTAATCATCAATAAAGTAGTTAATCAAGTAGGAAGCAGTAGGAAAACACAGTCAAGTGCAATTCCACTGTACTCCTCTGCAGTATATAGAATAGCTGTTTGCATAACACGTAATTTTTTTTATTTTTTAAACAAGATACTAAATAAGCGACTTAGATGCTAGCATCAATGAAATTGTAACAGAAGGCACTCTCCACTAAAGTAGAGTGTCTCTGATTTGAGCATCTGAATCCTCAGCCAGACATACTCCAAACACAATCCTGAAGTGGTAATTGTTGCCAAAGGAGGCCTTCACAAAAGAATATGCTCAAAGCATGCTTCAAGTATTAAACCAACCGTCTTTGCCTGTTTTGGATATAGAGTGGTTACTATTTTACATAAACCAAGTACATTTTTCCACAGTTTATTTCATATTAGTCCATACAGTGCAATTATTTTATCTATTTTATCTTGTATAAAAACACGAAGAGACTGACAAGCTCCTGAAATATATTTTACAAAAATTCTCTCGTATTCACTAAAACAAAACACAATACCAGAACAGGCATTCAGCCAACAAAGAGAGATTGACTCTGTGTTCCATCTAAGCCCATCATTTGAACAACCTCATGACTCCACATTTCATGAATTGCTACCAATGAATGAGAATTTTTTGTACTTGGGATTTAGCAACAGCAAGGCTGTTCATCTCTGCCAGGAAACAATGACCGCCAATATAGTTAAGCTAGACAGACTGAAATGAGAATACACTTAAAAGATATATATTTTTTTCTTTGAAATCCAGATAGGTAGCCAATTCATTTATTCAGAATGAGAGAACAACTATGGGCATTGCTAACTGTAACTGTGGATGTTGGTAAATATGTTGAAAATCTCTGGAAAATTTGAGGATGAAAGAGTTTTTTCTAGGCAGATCTAAATAAAAGACTGTTGAGTTTCTATTAACTAAAGGGAGAACAGCTTTCTTTCCAGAACCCTAGCAAAGGAGTCTTCTTGTGATAGTGTAAAATAGCGAGTAATTGACTTAAATGTGTGATTGGCAGATAGCTTCACAATTTCTCATCTTTTTCCTTAATTTTTTACCCTTTAACAAACTGTCTTGATTATTTACTAATAACAGTATAAATAAGGGGAGTGTGAGGTCTTGCCCAAGTCATGGCTTTCTTGCCTTGTACCTTGTGATCTTTGCCACACTTCATCTTTATATATATATATATACACACACACTTTACAAGAAAAGATTATAACCACTCATTAACCATCATCTACACAGAAGCTGAATAGTCACATAGGAGACATGACACATTCCATCCCTTTCAAGTACAGTAGCAGCTGCTTGCTGGAAACAATTGGGCAAGTTTTGTTAGCACTAGTAAATCATATAATGGAACCACAATTACTTATGGAAAGGGCATTTCAGAAGTGATTTGATGCACAGCTATTTTTCAATTGGCTAAATGTAATTTCAGTTAGCCATTGTATGAAAGTGCATAGAGATATATATTTTATATACTTTATTGCATTTGAAGTTAGTGTTAACTGAAAGACCTACAAAGACATTTGTGGTTAACACTCTACACAATAAACTGATTAGTGGTAGCATGTACAGTTTTGACTATTCTGATTTTCCAGTTTGTTTTCTTCCCAAATTAATTCTAGCTTCCCAAAACTTACTGAAAACTCAAATGGAACATTTTGCAGTTCACAGATTAAACTGTTCTCTTGATTTAAGCGAGTGGAACTGAATCTTTTGAAATTAAATCTAAAGCTGAAACTTCTGGTTTTGTGGATATCAAGTTTAAATAGATAGATACATGATTACACATAGCAGTGCAATCTTTTCTAACTATATTTTTCCTGCTGAGAAGTTACATCAGACAATACTGCCAATGTAGTTTATTTTTAGAGATGCAATAAACACAAACATCAATTCTTGCCTACATTATAAGCTAGGAAACAAAAACGTTCAAGTATTCAAGCAGTGGTATTTTTATATGCATTATCAGTGCTTTAGAAAAAACAGCTTCAATACAGCAAGATGGCATCTTGCAAGGCACTAATCTCATGCAGTTATATTTTTCTGACTTTATCACATACTTACAAGTTGTCCTCTAGTCGCTTTATGTCATCTAAAACAAGTGAATGAATGCTGTCCGAGGAGCAGGATCCAAAACAATTTAGGTCAGAAATATATTTAACTTTCAAAACCCAGTCAGCGTGAAGCTTGCGTTTAACACTATGGATACAAATTGAGATGCTATTATTAGGATTTAGTAGCATCTACTGCAACATGCCCATAGCTGGACACAAATTTTGTCAGTATGATTATACACAATAAATGCTATCACTGAATATCCAAGCCAGGTCCAGAACACATCTCTCAGCTCAATAGCAAACATATTAGAACAGAGCTAGTGTTAGAGTTGAATTATGCTCTTCTCTAGTAATAACGCTGCTTCTATTTAATAAGACACAGTAAGGCTTCCCTATATCTGGGTAAAAGCAATTGTGAATTCTTCCCTGAAATTTTGCTCTCCAGCCCTTCTACTGTAAGATCTACTGAAAACTCTATCATTCCTTCACACAACAAGCAAATTACATTACTTGCAGTTTTAAAAATTATTTTCTTTGTTAGGTTGGGTTAATTCACAGAGAAGCTGACCCTTCACTCAGTCCAGAGAACACTCCAAACTAACAAATAACGCCCAACATAAAATATTTTATCATAAATAACTTACATGTTAAAATCTTTGGAATCCAAGATCTGAAGTTGAGATTCTTTTTTACCTTTACATTGCTTCAATCCAAGGTGATCACTGGTCACTTTAAGTAAGTAAACATAGCCTTTGTCATCTCCCATTAGGATACTGTCCTCACCCACTTGATCAGACATGGTTGCCGTGCAAACACAGAGCAGACTGTTTTCCATTGGTTTGATGTTGAAGTAATTACCCTGTGAAATTCAGTAGTTTATTGGGATGGTGTATTTGCTAAGATCGTAAATGGTTTTCTTCTAGACAACATCTTTGTCAACAGGAAATGAGACAGCTGATTTACAGAATTACTAATCATAAAATGAACAGTAACACACAGTTCAGAAGTTATTAATACAGCCTAGGAGTACCAAATGTGCTTAAACAGCCTGAATTTTTAGGTATTGAGATGAGGCAATGAATACAGCTGCAAGCCACTGTGGTATTTTCCTACATTGAGAAGGCCAAGGAGTAGTACTTGAGGTCATCTGCATCATACTACTTATTGGTTAAACTGTCTGGACTCCATCTGTTATTTGATTAAAGCACCCTGCCAACCTAAACTGTCAACTGTTCATATACCATAGAAATCAACTGCTTCATAGTTCTCTGTATGGCACAGAAACACTGAAAAGACAAACCACAGAGTGTCTGTATATTATTCCTGTGATTTCAAAATATAATTATTTCTCATTCAGTCACAAGACAGTTACAGCTCATGCTTGCACTGATATAATGACTGGAGGAAACCTCTATGAGAATAAATGTTCAAGTCTTCCTTCTCAGAATTCCAACTGAATGGAAAGAAAGACTTCCATTGACTTATCTGAGTATGGGAACAGGACTTTTAATTTTATTAATTTTAAGAGAACAAACAAAAAAATGATAAAGCTTTATCTTATTCTAAAAATATTTACTTTGCTTCTTTATATCTCCTCAAAGCTACTGAGAAAGCCACAGAAACTGGGTGAAAGAGCCAAGGCATGGATGAGAAATCCTTGTAAAAAAAAAAAGTCATATTCTGTAATAAAGTATAAGCTTGCATAAATATAAACTTGCTTGAACATATACTATCAAAATTGAGATGCTTTTACATGTGAAAAGTCCAAAACAAAAATATAATATGTGAAGCAAGATTTTCTTTAAATCAAGAAGTTATCTCAAAGGAGTCTATGCTGAATTCCTTTGGAAGACTTGTCCCTTGATTTTTAATACAGTCCAAGATAGCTGTGCACACACATCAGATACATACACATTCTGCATTAGATACACGCAGAAGAACAAACTGCTTTTGTCAGTTTGTTTGCAACAACAATAGGACAAGAATTTCCTTCTTCTTTCAAGTTTTAAGACAGTCTAAAAATTACATTTGGTGTGGAAAGAGTACTCTTTCTTTAGAAAGAATGGTTTCCTTGAGTTCCTTCCTACAAAGACAAAAGTTAATGCATTCATCCTGTTGGGCAAAAGGGATATGAATGTACATTGAAAAAAAAATTAACTTTCTCCAAATTTCCCTTCACATTTGCTTGATCCAACACACTACCTTTTTCCCTACTGAGGTGTAGTCCCAGACGATGATTGTCCTTTCAGTTACAGCCACAACACATTTCAGCTGAGTTAGGAAATCACATCCATTCATCCAAGCCGTATCCTGATAAAGACAAAAAGAGCAGCTAAACAAGGATTTTCTGAGAATTTATAACCTTGTCTATTGTTTTAAGAAGTATTCAACCATCTCTGCATAAATTCCATATAGTCAGCTAGATGCAGTCCAAGCTAGTGAGACTGAGTTCTAACTCCAATAGTAGCTCACAAATGCAGTAGCTTGGCTCAGCCTGTAATCAGAAACTCACAGATACAGAGATTGCACGTAAGAGGACATACACAACACAAGTACACTGTTTGTTGAACTGTGATAACACTGAAAAAAACTTATTCTGAGTACAGCAAATTAAAGTTAAGGGTTTATGTATCTGTGTTAAAGTGGATTTTTTTTCCTTGGATACAGTTTAATTAAAAATAAAAGTTAAAGGTACTCAAATTTCCAACTGGAATTACACACTGTTTTTAGGTAACAACAAGCACATCTTTTCCATAAGGAAACAATTCACATTAATGAAAATAGAGGTGTAATCCTGTGCAATTATAATGATATACATGGCAGGGAGAACACTGTTAGAATATGAGAGATTACCTGATAGAAGCATAAATCTAGGTATTCTTAATTTCTATATCTATACTACTTATTCTTCCCTGATGATAACAGAAGTGGAAAGCACAAGGAGTACATTCATTTTTGCTATGTTTTGCTATCTGCTGAAATTCCTAAATAAAGGCTTTCTGTAATTCTTAAGGCATAAGTATACTACAAAGAACAAAAGACGTAACTGTCTTGCTCAGATTTAGCTAAGAAGTTTAAAGTAGAAATTCCTGATTTTCCAAAATCTCCTAGTTTTAAACATTTTATAAGGTACGTAGGCATCACTGGCAAATGGTTTCACACAATGCTAAAAATACAAAAATTGTTCTGTTTCTCTATGCCTCTTAACTAATTCATGGAGACACTGAGGCATCCAGATATTTGTAAGAGGATCTTGCTCCATGCAGCTAAAAACTCAGTACGGCTTATAGATAACTGACAACCTAGTATAGTCCAAAGGAGGATACTGATATCACCTATCACTTCCTTTTTTTTTTTGCTTATGGAATGACACAGCCTTTCTACATCAATGGTTCAAAAATAAAAGCCTGGTTTAAAAGAGCATTGATTTGAGAGGACAGGTAGCACATTTGAAGGAGAACCAGACCTCGAGTGCTATTCTGTAAATGGAAAAAAAAACAATTGGACCAGAAAAGGAGTATAGACTAAACTATACCAGAAATTACTGGAAATCCCTGTAAACCCAAAATTTAAGCCAAGAAAAGTAAAGACATTTTGTGTTTTATTTCAAAGATTATTTTTCTTAGATGCCTTTTTAGAGAATTATCTCTCTTTATCTCTAGGAGTCAGTTCTCTAGTTGGCATTTTAACACCAACACTACAGGTAGAGGAAGAAGTGCTAGTTATGTTCTTCTGTTTCAGTCTACAGATGATAGGAGGCAGTATGATATAGGCAGTATGAAACATCAATAGAGTGATGGAAGACAATATTCACCCAGTTACACCAGTATTCTTCTTCCTTCAACAGAATTTTTTTTCACATTATAAGTGATTCACATCTTAAGAAAAGTTGCACTAAATTTGTCTTAAATAATTCAAGAGAAATTACTTAAATTACATCGAAGACCCATAGATAAAAAGGTCTGCAGAAACAACTGAATTTGGCTTCCTTCATAGCACGCTCCAGAGAACATTCACTGAGAAATATAGAGCTTAACAGAGGTGCAGAGATTGTTGCCAAAGTTGAACGCTCTCCTGCAAGCTAGCTCTATGTTCTAGAATGTTAGCCATGGAATAAACAGGCTGTGTAAATAGTAGAGCATGGTGCTATATCCTTAAGATACACAATGAAATTTCTTGCCAAAACAGACTCCTTTGTGAGATTTGAGAGTTATCAGAAACAGAGTGAAGTCCTGAAAAAAAAAAAAACCAATGTGCACATTGACAGACTGATTTGACTCACTGAGAAGCTGCAGATAGAAGAGTCTGACAGACTATAAGCAAAACATGTGGCCTACATTCAGCTTTAGAATGAAAGCTTTATGCGCTTCTCCTCTTTACAGTGCAGTACTTGACAGACAGCCCAGTCAGCTACACCAGCTTTCACTATTCTTTCACCCTGTCACTCCAGGGCTCTGTCTTCACTTCCTCATCTTCAAGACAATTTTTTATCTCATCTGACTCTAGCTTCCATCCACTAGGTTTGTCGATGTTATTTTGTATTATCTGTCTTTTAAGGCATTTCACTTCCATGTTGCAAGAGAAGCAACTTATTCACTATCAATATTTCCATTCAACAGTGTTCCCATGCTGCCTACTATTTTTGGTCCCTGTCAGTTGGACAGTCCTTAACTCATTTAATACGTACTTTGATTTTTTTTTTTTTTTTTGCAGTGGCCATATTTTAAAAACAGAAAGTCATGTGGTATTAAGTCAAATATAGCACAGTTTTAAGTTTCATATTTATGCCTCTGTTATTTCTGCTCAGCTACATAATCTCATCAAGAAATGAAATCAGGTTTGATTGAAGTGACCTGTTCACCATGAAATACATGGAACAAAATCATAGATGATTGATACTATGTAGTCACAGCTCAATTTCTATTTATACTGTCACAATGCTAGGAAAACTCCAATAGCTGCAACTTACTTGATTTTATTCCTAGAACTACTGTATCTCACAGCCTTTCTGCATTAGGAAAGACTCTGCTTACCTTCAGAAGGCCCCAGATAGGCACAAATGTCCAGCAAAGTACCCTTGCCTCCACTGCCAACCCTTAAATGAGGTCTGGGAAGCAGTGGGTCCTGGCTCCACTCCTTCTTGTTACTCAGATGCATTGCATGCACTTGAGCTCCCCTGGGTTGGCCCTGCCTTCCCACCAGATGCTCAATCACTGGTTCAATCCATGACTTAGCATTTCTGCTCCACATACTATTTCTACTGCATAAGAAATAAGTGAAATTTATCCTCTAATCCTCCAAGGAAAGTAGAACTTATCTCAACCCATTTTATTTTACAGCAGTTTGGGATAAGGATATAGCATCTCAGTTTTAAAAATAAAGTAGCTTAAAACATTATGTTCTACAAAGATCTAAATCTTTTAAAAACATCAAGAAGTTTCAGCCAAAACTAGGCAGTTTCACTCTGTTTTCAGCATAGTATTTAGAGGAAGAATGAGAGCAAGCTGTATTAGCCAAGGAGAAGACCTTTCAGTGCAAAAAATTAAATAAGAATATTTAATTAAGATTGCTCATTTCCTAAGACAAGGCAGAGTAGGAAGAAGAGAGATATTTTTAACAAAAGTGGTGAAAATTTCACAATTCTCATACCAAAAAAGGAAATAAGCAACTGCTAATCCTCCAGACAGAGGGCTTAGAAGGATTTCATTGTGTGCAACAATGATCTCCACCAATCCAGTGATACCCAGCAGCAATGATACCCCATCCCAAAGGGGAGGAATCTGAACTATTGCTAACTTTGAATAGTTGGGCCTGTGGCCTGGAGTATTTCTATTTCATTTTAGAACACACGTGGCATGTGAATAAGAATTAACACAAATGCACTGTCCCCTGGCACAAGACGCCCATACTGACTTTAAGGTCAGGGGATCACATCGCTGTGTTAAGTCTGATGGCACTTCTCTTGTCTGTAGGTTAACTGAAGGAAATTAATTACCAAAAATGTGCAGTGATAATCATAGGGTAAAATCAGCTTTTAAAGTACATACTATATTGCCTACCAATCCAAATAGCAAGATGCCAAACTGTTTTTCACCAACAAAGTTGTATTTTTTTCTCAGTCAAATTTTACACCAACAAAGGAAGTGTTACAGCTTAGAAGAAAATGTCTTAGAAAAGTAATGAGTAAAAATTTTACCAACAGATAATTCAGTAGAAAAAAGCAAAATTTATCTCAGATTTCTTTTATCAGAAGAAATAAATCAGGTTACATAAACACTTGCTTAACTGAAAGGAAAAAATTGAGTGTGTTCACCCAATGGTACCCCACGTCAGATTACACAGAAGTCTCAAGGTCAGAAGACATACCGAACAGTGCTCAGTGTCTGATTATTTCACTATAACAATTATTGAATTCTACTTCAAACGATTTTTAAAAGAAAGAGGAAAATGAACTTACTTTAACACTGATGGTTGCCAGAACTTTCATCTGAAAAACAAAAAATAACTTGTTAGCATTTAAACTAGAAGTCTGAAAACAGCTCTGCTGTTTTCACAGGCAGAACAGAAGCTAAGTAGCCAATAGAAAGAGATTGCAGTTAACATCTGAGAGAGGTATTTAAACCTACTGACGATTCCTCTATATGTAAAGTGAGGAACTTAAACTCTCCTATCACAGTATGTCCTGGAAACTAATATGTTGAAAGTCACAGGGAGGTAGGCATATCTGGTGTCATTGTACAGCAGAGACAGGGTCGTCATCTTTGTCTTCTAGCTCTACATTCAGTTTTCAAAAGCAGTTTTTTCCCCTCATGAAACACTAGTAGATGCTTTTTCACCTCCTCTTGCCCATGTTCCTCATCCATAAGTCTGTAGCGCCTCATTCCTATCCCAGCAATTCCTCACTTCATAAAATGAGAAGCAGGGATCACGGTATTTCTTCTCACAAAGGTGTGATGCACAGTGTTACCAAGGATGGTCTTCGAATGGAGTACTGTTAAACAAGTTTCACATTAAACTGAAGTTTACTACACTGAAAAGCAGTGTGGTGGTGTAAAATCTTTCTTGTTCTTATTCTTAATATGTAAATTGGGTTTTTTACCTTTTTAAGGTATTCTCAGATTTCACACAGTATCAATTAAAAACTAGTTATATGTGCTTTCCAAAGAGCAGATAAAACAATACTAAATTGATCTTGTGAAAAGCTTATTTGCACTGGACATCAGTTTTCCTTAATGCGAATGAATAGAATATGGCCCTGTCTTTTCCTCCATATAAAAGTTTCATAATAGTCAAATGTCTCAGATGTAGCAAAGTTAAAGTGTTTTTTACGTTAGATTCCCTGATTATATCAGACCAAATACTATTCATCACTCATGTACATGGAACACACTGACTCATGTCAGATATATATGAACCCAAGAAAATCATGTATTTAATGGTCTGTACTTTAGAAGTGCAAGAATTAGACAAGAATAAATTTCATTGTCTGATTGTCAGTACGTTGCTCATGAGCTCATTTTTTGAGCAGAAGTCTTACCAAGCAGCACCTTCAGGGCAAGTATATTCATAGTCCTTTATCAACATGCTAAAAAGACAGATTAGACAAAAAAACCTCACTAGCTGACGCTTAAGGACAGGACACTTTAAGTCCTTGGCCTTTGACTGAAGAAAATGATGTAAAAGGTGTTAATTCTTTATGATATGAAGTCATATTTTAGTAACAAGATTCAAGTGAATGCAAAGCTAAACTGCTATATTTTTCTCTTGTTTGCATCAAGATGCATCAGAGCAATTTTAACGAAGTCAAAGGTCATTTGCTCAGATCAACTGAAATGTCGCAGTGCCTTAATCATTTTCAGAATGTAAATCCCATTTGTAAATGGGATTTGAGGTTTCCTGTAATTCACTGCGTTAAGCAGCTGGGTGTAATATCAGTTACACTGCAGTCACTGATGTCAGAGTGACATCAGTCCAGACTATGAGAAAGCAGCAATTCAGAACTTCAAGCAGTTGGAGGGCTGGAGGAGGTGGGGGAGGGAGAAAGGAAACTAATTTTAACATTATACTTTGTGAAATTATTTTTTGTACGTATGCAAGAGGGATAAGTCTCTGAAGGACAAAGAGCTAGGCTTTCAAACAAATTACTTCAGTATTTACCAAAACTGCAGTATTGCTTTGTTGTTTAATCATCCACAGGAGAACATTGTTGCTTTGCGAGCCGCTGTTAGAAGCATTATACACTAATTAGCTGACCCCCTAGAAAATATTATTGCCATTTAAAAGCTTTACTGCATTGTTTGATAAAGCTTTTAATAAATTAGTCATATTAAAATTGTATAAATGTAAAGTGCCAATGAACATAGAACTGTGACGTACCTCATGGCAGCTAGGATTGTATGTTTAAATAGTAATATCATCTGAGAGACTCATTTACAAAATGTACTTTAAAATGATCTTGAACCTGAACTTCTACTTAAAATGGTACAGGTTTCTCTACAATTTGCTGACAAGAGGAGTGACTATGAAGCAGTGTCATGAAGACTGACAGAAAATTCAAGACTTTCAAGCTTTAAGAGCTTACTGTATAGAATAACTCTTTTTTGCAAACAACCAAAAAATCTTTCTGCACATTCTAAATATTCCCAGTAGCTGCAGAAAACAGTTAATTCACTGGTTTCCACTGTGTATGCAATACACAGTGACAAATATAGCATATGTAGAATTTAAGAATAAAAAAAAAAGGCAGATTATTTTATATTGAAGGGACTTCTATTCATTTTCTTATTGGCAATCTCTATTTACTTATTTGTTTACTCTATTTACTTACCAATTTATCTTTTATGGATTGTTGAGTAGGATTATAATTAAAAATAACAATGTACATTTCCCACTGTATTTAAAAGTATAGGCAAAGTTAACTTAAAAAAGATGTCTGGCTTTTTTATGGGTAAGTTTGCACTCTGGATCACAGTTCACTCAGTTCATGTATGTACTACCTAGTAGAACAAGGAAAAGTTTGAGTCAGAATTACCTTCTTGTTAAAAATAGTTAGCACTCCTTTCTGAGAGGATGTTACAGTGAAATCCAGATGGGGTACCTTCACTATACTTGTAATCATATCTCGTTCCTTGACAACTGTGAAAGACATAAGATGACTCTTCATCTCACCGACAGAAAGCTCTACATACAGTACATACAAAAAACCTCCCATAATACTAAACAAATCAAACCATGTACCAAGAACATTTTATCTCCCTGAAATACATATTGGCACCAACTTCAAGGCTGTAAAACATAGTCATATTATTCTATACTCGATTTTATAAATCATGTTGCATTTTAAAATAGCATTAATACATCATCCATCTGCTAGTTCTTTCTAGAATATATGTATATATAATGTATTTTTTTTAAAGACACAAAAGGCAAGTAAATAGTCTGAGTCAGACACCTTAGTAATTTCAAAATGATTCAGGAGTGCTCAGGCACCTTAGTAAGAAACTGGAACACACAAGAAGAAGAAGCATGATTAGTAAACAAAAGCAACCATGAGATTTTATCACCGTAACTTCAATAAGATGTGCAATAGGGAGCACTGAACAGACACATTTTGGGAGTTTGTTTTAAACACAAGATGATTACCTGGATAAGTAATCTGCTGTTTTTCAGATGTAAGGAAAACTGTGCTTTCCTCTTTGAAATGGGAAGGCGTAGCACCTTTTCCTCCTATGAAATAGCCAAAAATCTGAACAAAACAAAATAGAACAAAACTAGCAGTTTAAAACTATACTACATCTGGAACATCTGTTTATATACAGATAGTCAATTTCTATGTGTCATTTTTCAATCATTTCAAATTCCTGAATAAGGAATTTCCCTCCATTATTCCTCTCAGTTATTAGCTGTCAATATGACTTTAGATTGCAGAGATCTGCTGGTCAGGCACAACTTCTCATCAATGTTTGGGAAGAAGCCAGAATAAACAGGATACCAGGAATAAAAACAGTCTAATTGATAAAGCTATTACTACCAGTTTGGTTTGCCATGATTGCATGTAAGCAGTCATTTTCCATTTCCTTTTTCCATTTTTATCTACTTGTGCTTCCTGAGCTAGACTTCAGCTAGAATGAAAGACTGGAGGAAGCAGATGAAACAAAAGTCACGATGTTTGTAAACTGATTCAAAGTAGCATAGTGGTTAGTCAACATAGAAGAGCTTTTCCCTCAAGATCCATAGATTGCTGTTTCCTTGGGGGAGAAAACAAAAAAGTATACAGAACATTTTTTAAAACTTTTTTTTTTATTTTTTTAAACTATTTCCCTCAGCCTGATGTTTTATTTGTAGTAATGGTAATGAAGATTCCTGGAGGGGAAATGCAGGTTGGTAGCTAATATCTCCCAGGATGGCAAAACATTTCAGCTGAAATGCTCTCAGCAACTCAATCCCTGTACCCAAGTGTAGGTTAGTCATCTCCTCAGGAAATGAGGTCAGCCCTTTATAGTTGTACAGAGAGATACTTTTTCATCTCTTTTGTCATATTATGGACATCATCTGGTCAATTCCGTTAACGTGCTCTGAAAGCAAAGCCCGTTTGTATGCAAGACAAAACTTCACACTTCTTTCTAGTTCAATATTTTTCATACACCAGAACTTTCTATTTTCTTATCTGAGCAATTCACGTGTACATCTTTCAACAAAAAGTATTCTGCATATTCTTACAGAAAAATATTAGTCTCTATCTTTCACTTCATAGCACCCTCCTTACTACGTACACAATTATAATCTATCATAAAATATCAGTCAATACATCATCCATTACAATCCTTTACTTTCCTCTGTTTAATTTCTTATAACACCATCTTGTCTTTCCATCTTGTTTCCAAACATGAATCTGAATTACAGATTCATGTTTGAATGCATCTCTGCAACAGGTGCACACCTGGAATTCCTATCATTTACGTCATCAATTAAGATATTAAATAGTATATTTACCAATACTTACCCCTGGCACATACATCAATATCATCTTGCTTTAATTGGATTTTGAACCACTGAGAAATTCAGCTAGTATTCTTTCTGTCTCCCTGCCCACTAACCCATCCTTGGTCAGCTTGACTAAGAGTATGTCATGGGAGACAACATTAAAATCCTTACTATAGTCAAGATAAACATCATCCACTGCCCTCTGCTTATCCACCAAGATAGTCATGCCATTGTAGAAGCCTATTAAAGTTGGTTATATGCAATTTCTATATTTCCCCTTTGGAAACCCATGCTGACTATTCCCAATCATTTTCTTATCTTTTATGTGCTTGCATATATTTTCTAGAATTAGTGGTTTCACCACCTTCATCAGAGATTGAGGTTAGGCCTCTAGTTCCCTTGATCATTCCTCTCGTCTTTCTAGAAGATAAGAATGACATTTTGCATTTTTAGCACATTCCCATTTTTCCAGGCAAAGGAGAACAGGCTCTTCACCTTTCTCAGGACTAAGTTTTTGGTAGGAGAATTTTTTTTTTTTTTTTTTTATTTAAGTAGTACACTGACCTGATATGAGGTCACTGCTGAGTCTTGATGGTGTGGTTGGGTCAGCATAGTATCTGACCTAAGGCCAACAGAGGTGGAAGCCCTCTAAGTGAGATGCCCAGGTGTGCCCTATCATGCCTCTTACAGACATCAGACAGTGACACATCTGATTTCTGCTCAGCAAGCAGAACACTGCCCTAAAAAGGCATATCTCTTTAGCAGGGGTTGTGGTGATGGAACAAGGGGAAATGGCTTTAAGCTTAAAGAAGTTAGATTTAGGTTGAGTATTAATAAAAAGTCTTTTACAGTGAGGGTGGTTATACACTGGAACAGATTGCCTAGAGACATGGTGAATTCTCTGTCCCTGGAGACTTTCAAGGTGAGGCTAGGATATATTTTAGAGCCACTGAATGCCTAAGAGTAGACTCTAACATGACTAAATAGAAGATTTTAATTTTTTTTCCCCTCACAGAAAAGTATCACCTGAGTATAGGTATATTGCTGTGGAGAATGCTGGAAACTCTTGAAAATAAAGGTACTTGAAAAAGGGAAACATCTGGAAGAGAAAGGAATGGAACACTTGCATAAGGCCATGCTTTTTTAAATAATGGAAATAAATTCTGCAGATTTTGTCAAGCTAAAGAGGTGCCAGATATGGAAAGGTAAATTTGAAAAGTTTATAACTGTGAGGGCAAGAAGAAAAGAAAATGGTCAGAGTTCAGAGTTCTGGGAAGGGAGAGAGACAGAGATGAAGAAAGAGAAATGTCAAGAGAATGAAGTGACATGTATGCTTCCTCCTTGGCTTTCAAGATAAATGAAATGCTCAACAGTGTTAAACAGCAGGAGAATTCAGGAGAACAGGATGAAATGAAGTCCTTGTAGAATAAAATTTGAAAACTAGAGCATAGATCACAAAAGATATGATGAATATTGGGTAAGTTACAGAAAGCAATCAAGATTGATGATACAATTGAAAAAAAATAAGTGATGAAAAGGAAGCTAAAGCAAGATCAAGGCTACTTCCATTTTTCATAGAGGTAATCAATATGTGTTCAAGCTGCAAGTTAGAAATGTGATTTGCCTAATATAATTAGCAGTTTAATGAACATTATAAGAATGAATATATCAATTAGAGGAGACTTATTTATTTCTGTCACCATCTCTCTCAAACAACTGGTTTCAAGCAGAATACCCAGAATAGTTTTCAGTCTCTTAAGAGAACAGTTACCTTTCCAATAGTTTTCACTAGGCAAAACAGAAAATTTGCTTCTTTGAATAAAAGTTTCATTTAAAAGCAACATAAAGCCTAAGGAAGAGAAGAAAAGCAAATGCGACTTAAGCTCATAAAGTTAAATACAGCCAGCTTCAAAAAAGAGAAAAGAGGAGGAGCTAAAAATATAAGTGGAAAAAAATAAATAAATCTACCTTTCCTACTGCATAATCAAACAATATTAGGATGCTATAATCACAAAATAAACAAGAGTTAGGCAAAGCAGACAACAATAACAAAAGTGAATAAATGGAAGGCTTTCCCCTATCCTAGGCTCACTCACAAAACACCAAGAGAGATGATCTCCAGAAGAGATCCTTCCCCACTGGTAGTCAGCTCTTAAATAGGTCTAGGAGGGGTGCAGCCAGGCTCCATCCCTTCCGGCAGCACAGGTGAATTGCCTTCAGCTGTGCTCCTCTGGCTGACTCATGGCTCGCCTCAGGTGATCCATCAGAGGTTCAGGCCGTGACTCAGCAGTTCCCATACACCTACCAGTACATAAATACGCACATCTTTAAATATTGAGAATTGAAAACAGATAAGGAGACCATAGAGCTGCAGCATAGCTACAGTCATAAACCCTTAGCATAGTTAGAAGAAAAAGAACACTGACTTAATTTCTGATATTTATAACTCTCCAAGATTCAGTGAACCAAACTGAAACTGTACTTTGACAGAGAAAAAAAGGATAGAAAAAAGACCCACCATCAAACATCATAGGCCTGTTTTTATTTTAGTAGAAACCATTCCAATAAGTCTGTAAATATCTGTTTTGTTCCATTCATGTCAGAAAGGATTTTACCACAATTACAGTAGATCAGAAGCTAACGTTCAAGTTACAGCTGATGTAAATTGGGCTCGGATGACTATCAGATGACCGATACAATGTTGTTTCAGTGTAAGCTAAATTTGCAGAATTCTAAATTCAGTTGTATGGGAACTGCTGAATCACGGCCTGAACCTCTGATGGATCACCTGAGGCGAGCCATGAGTCAGCCAGAGGAGCACAGCTGAAGGCAATTCACCTGTGCTGCCAGAAGGGATGGAGCCTGGCTGCACCTCTCCTAGACCTATTTAAGAGCTGACTGCCAGCAGGGAAGGATCTCTTCTGGAGATTCTTCCTTTGGAGTTTTACAGTGAGCCTAGCATAAGGGTAAGTACTCTATTTTTTTTTTAATTTGTGATTTAATAACCTGCTTAGCCAAACTCTCTTGTTTATTTCATGATTATAACATCTGTATATTCATTGATTATACACAGTTTTCATCTCTTTCTCCATATCCACGCTACTAGTAAGAAATTCTTACCTTTGAACAGAGCTTAGATTGATGTGTTCCATAATGTATATGTAGCTGATGATACATATCACTGACAAATTTCCTGCTAAACAGGATTAAAATTTGAAAAATTCACTGCAGCTTTTCAATGAAGTAGTATTGTGTTTCAAACTTTGCTGGGTAAGGCCAATTCAAGTTAAAAAAAATTAGAGTCAGACTTAAGAGCAATGTAAGTACTCTGACCTTTGTATATGTAGTAATGGAAGTTTATCTGTAAGGGAAGTTGTAGTTCTAGGAACTTTGTGTGAAATACTTCTCTCCCCAAAAGAAAATACATTAAAACAAATAAACAGGCAAGCAAAATACAAGGAGAATAGACCACCATGTCTAAAAGAAACAAAGCAAAGTACTTTTTCACAAAATGAATAAAACTGTGGATACTATAGAAGTATCTCTTTTTTACAAATGCAGAAGTAATTTATGAGCAGTTAGATAAAAATCCTATTGGAGGATACTAAGCACATTCTACAGCTGCAAATCTGGCACAGAAAATCCTTAAGCTATATGCCACCAGAAGCTGAGAGGGGGTGAATCAGATTCTGTTTCATACTTACCTCATTATTACATTCTTTTTTTTCCTCTTCAAAATTTGCTATTTACCATTAGAGACAGAAAAATAAATTACAACAGAATTCAATAAGGAAGAATGCTCTTGTTACAAAACCCTATACTAAAATGGCAGTATAGCTCTTAATGTCTTCCATCTAAAGTAAGGTGTAGATTTATCTCTGAGTAAAGAGGAAGGAGATGAGGGCGAAAAAGAATTTATGATGGTCTAGCTAAAGTTAGACCTATCCCCAGGGCACAAACTGCATATGGTAGTGATAATATTTCTTGCATTTTATTGCAATGCCTGAGGCAAATGTGTATCAGTAAAGTAGTTCATGACTGGATGTACTGATTTCTAGCCTCAGGTCCATGCTCCAGATCCAGCTGCCATGTGAGAAATCTAGTATATCAAACATTGCTTCAGGATAAGCAGCTCTGGTAAACAGCTCAGTGCTCTTTCACAAAACAAGCAGAAAAAAGGATTTTATTCAGTCAGGTTATTCTTCAGCATGCGTTCATGTACATCAACATAGTAAGTTCAAGCATCTTAGAAAAGAGGACAGCTTCCTCAAACTCATATGAACAGTGTAGCATAATTTTGATTTGAAAACTCAGGTGATATATCAGGGTTGCTCCAAAAATAATGCCTCCTGCTTTATTATGTTGGCCCACAGTGTCAGAGGTGAATGTTGGTGGTATGGCAATAGAGTTGCTTATATTTAATAAATATTAAAAATCCTTACCTCACACCATTCTGTCCTTGCATCAGGATTGTTGCTTACTTTCATGAAAAAGGTCTTCACGTTATGCTCCTTGACTTCTGGACCAAAAAGTGTCTGTGTGGTTCTATAGAACTCATCATAATCTATCTCATCTGTATTGGAGGAACAACATCCAGAGTTAAAAACTGTGAAGCTACATCTTCTGTCTTTATCTTCCTTAGCTCCTGTTTTCTCTTTCAATATCAGCAACATGCAAGTTTCAGCTCCTTGTACTGTATCCACTAAAGCATTTTGCCAAAAAGATGTTCAGCCTACTCTCCAAAAGCACCCACTTTGCAGAACACAATAGGAAACAGATAGGTAAAAGAAAAGTTATTCTTGTCTTCTCTTAACTCCATAATTTATATAGAATCCTGTTCTATTAAAATGAACCTGAAAAATGACCTAAGATAAAATCTATTCTTTCAGGCAATAAATAGTCACTTGCATTGAGGAAAAAAAAAAAAGCAAAATTTTGTCCTAACTGTTTACAATCAAGACAATGGATTTACATAATTATTATGTACTCTTACAGATCAGTGGAAATGCCACAGAAGTGCTAATCTGTGTATGTGGCAACTCTGAATTACATTTAATGAGCAATTACTATGACTTTATAATTATAATTTACCATAGGCCATAAAATGAGATTAAAATCACTTTCACAAGGCAAGTCAAGAAGTCTCAGTTTGAATATGTTTGATATTTTTCCCAGTCTTGTTTCTATGACGCCTATTATTGATGTGAAAATTTTTACACATCATTCAGTAAGAAAGTGCATCTCTTACCATCATCGTTAGTGTACCAGCCTAATCTTTCCTTTTTCTTCTGGGTTACTATTCTTTCAACTAGTTTCTGGAACTGCTTTAAAGCATTCTTGAAATCTAGCACCTCGAGAGCAGAGCAACTCTCGTTATCACAATCCTTTGATTCAGACATCCTTTAATAAGGGTGGACAAAAAGGTAGGAGAGAGCTCTCCTTACAGTGTGGTTCAAGCCTTGCTTTGCTCCTTAGATTTTAAATTCCCACATGAGTTCATATGAGATGCAGTTGTATGACAGGTATACCAAACAGTACATAATGAGGTGTCCCTAGTTCAGCATCTCAAGCTGGCAAATCTGTCAGTGAACAGCTGATGTCACAACCCTCCCATGCATCACAGAATTCTCTCATTTGAATGTGTTGCTTCAGCCACCACTTGGCAGTTGTTGGAATGTCCTCATAGTTGGTGGAAATAATTGGTGGTTCTCCCATTTAGGAGCCTATGTACCTGAATTACTTCTCCATTTTCTTGTTATTTAAAGCACACTGAGCTCTTTACCTCATACTACACTTTCCTTCCAGCCTCAAAATAATGCTTGTGATTCTTTACTGCATTTTCCAGCTATTTTTTTTTTAGTACTTTTAAAAAATTGCTGAAAACATGTTGCTGTAAAACACGATAATAAGCAAATTGCCATTCTGGTCAAATAATGAACTTAAATCTATTTATTAGACCCTCTTTTCACTGGACCTTATAAGTCAACTTATTTGTACTGTTCTTTGTCTATTTATCTCCACATCAACTTTTGTATTTCTTCAGCCAAGGTTGATGACTGTCTCATTGCGCAAGGTTTGCTTGAAATCCTGCACATGGAGCTGCTAAACTCCTGTGGAGAACAATTCCTATAAAATGAAGTCCTATCACTAGTGAATTTCACAGGTTTATTGTTACAAAAGCTGGTAATACTTGTCTGATTTAGATTTACATGGTTAAGGTTCAAGCTTTCCTGGAGTTGTATTTGTATATCCAGGGCAGGTATATTGTCAGCTGGTGCAAATATGTATCATCACTTATTTTACTCTATTTAGTAATTAACAGGTGCCACAGAGAAATCAATGGCCATCTGCTGACTAAGTGTGTATTACAAATCCACCAGATTTCTATAGACAAGATGAAATTCCAGTGATCTCACTTAGGCATCTAAAAGTTAATTATCAAGCCAGCTTATAACCCGATCAATAGTGAAACATATCAAGCACTCTAATTCATCTTATTGGTCTTAAGTGTTTAACTTTTAAATGCCTTATTCAGGTGAGATGAATTACACCTGCATCTAGCATAGTTATTTGTACATATACCAGATGTACTACAGCTCAGATGTTACTCACATGCTGTGGTCAACTTCTAGATATGGCACAGATGTTCCAATGGTATCGCTCCACCTCCTAGGATCACCTATTTGGGTCACCTCCCTGCTGCAAGTACCTGTCCTTGCCTCAGTGAACTTATTTGAGGCAGCCTCTTCTCTCAATCCAGATTCTTGCAGCGTTTGTCTACCCTGCTCTGCTTTAAAGTTCACATCCCAGTACAGACTACACTGTATAGCTAGGATTACAAACTCTGGAAGATCAGGCCCTAATTTTGAACTCTTACCATTAGGTTTGCGCATGTTTGTTTTTTTCTTATATACTGCATTATCAGCAGATGTCCATCTATATTAAAAGCCCCTTTTTAATGTCAAGTGTATTTTAATGCCAAGATAAAAGGATTCTTCTTTCTATAAACTCTTCCTCGTGCTATAGACAGGTACTGCAGCTATATATAGATAGAGAATAATCACTAGGCTTTCATCTGCACTTGAGGCTAAAGAACAGCAAAAAGAACATGTATTTAAAAAAAAAATGCTAAAAGAAGGCTGTAGAAATTTTAATTAAAAAGATGAAGATGAGTAACCACTTCTGTTTTAATTTTTCTTATTCTTTTTTAAATCATTGTTTTTCTTTCAGAGATTGTAGTCTGGTTTTCTACCATACCTATGAAACAAGAAGTTTTAGAGAGTTCAAAACAAGCAACAAAAACCCAGCACTGCCTGATATATCAACAAACTTACTGAGTACTGAGGGATTTTCAAGTACTGTTTCTAAGGTACGGCACTGGAGACCTTATACTCCAGCTTGTTGCTGCACTGCTTTAATCCCATAAGCTCAGCTACGTATATATTTAGTCCTTTGAGATACGCCTCCAGTAAGCTGCACAAACACTTCCAGAAATTAAAATAATGGGTTGTGAAACAGTGCAACCCTGAAAAAATGCAAGTTGGATGTCTCAGTTTTGTGTTTCAGCTTTTTTAACAACAGGAACATTTAGAAAATGATTGGCATTAATATTTTAATAACATTTTATTTATAATATTATATTTATAATTTCTAATTATTTTAAATATTAATTCCAATAGTATATATTGGAATCAATTAGATGATCAAAGACACAGCTGTGTTGGCTGTGTCAGTCTACACTGTTAGGCAGGACAAGTGCTGGACTAGAATGGGAAGTCAGGATTCTGTTTCCAGCTTTCTCTTTGATCTGATACAATAACATAGCACTTTTTTGTTTGCCTTCATATTAATTATGATTCTGTATTTGCCTGGAAGACAGATAGAACTCTGCTCAAGAAGAATTTGAGGTCACTTGAATAATGTTTGCAATTTGACTGTATTAATAATGTAACCACCATAAAATAAAGCACTGAAGAGACTGCATGTTTATGGATCTATTTAATTTTGCTATGAAAAAGAATCTCTAACCAGGAGTTTTGAAATATGATCTTTGTCAAATTTAACTTATGCATTCTTTCTCCTATTTTTGAGAAATCCATAAGACACCTAAGGTGAGTATTTTTGTCAGGTGCTGCAGTTGAAATATTACTTATTAGCTCTGTATGTATTATGGAATCTGCCAGTGGGCAGTACACTGTCTAGAATTTACTACTTGCCTCACTAAATTACCAGCTTTTCTCATTTTGCAGAGCAAAATAAGGTATGCTCTCAGTTTAAGGCTTTCTTTTAAGAGCAGAAGATAGAGATCCTTTCACCTTAATGAGGCGCATCGTTAATTAGTTCAGTCATGTCTTATAATTATTTGACTTCTACCATACAACGCATAGTCTATCACGCACAGGTAAATTATTTCCACTAACAAAGAAAGCTAAGAGTTAAGCCTTCCCTAAAGCTCATGCTGAAGTGCTACTGGTCTGTTACTGGAAGTTTTGAATGGAAATAATGTGTTCTTCCACTAATCTAAATTTCAGAGTGGAAAACAGAAATGATTTGGGTAAAACTTCTGCTGCTTTTGTAAGCAGCAAGGATGGGAGACCAGTGAAGTCTGGTGAACTAGCTTTTTAAAGGAATTGAATATATAGGTTATTAAATATATCATATTTGGTGGATTTGAAAACATTGTAAATAAAGCTTATAAGGACAGATACTCTAATCAGTGTTTCATTCTCCTGACACGCTGCATTCCAACACTACTTTGTCATACAAAATTGCCACTTGAAGCCCATAATTTGTATACTGGAATGCATCTTTGAAGATATCAAAATCATTTCAACTACCCATGTTTTCAGTCTTGGTCCACAAGGAATCATGCAGTCAGACCAACTTTCTAAATACCTGTATTTGTATTGAGGGGGGAAAAAACAAGGAAACAAACACAAAATAAGCAGGTAAAATTTGTTATGCCACAGTTCCATAAAAATGCTGTTGAAAATGCTTCCAAAGTTGATGTGAAACTAAACTGAGAATGGATCTAAAAGGAGTTTTATCACAGAATGGTTTGGTTTTGGAGGGGACTTCAAGGATCATCTAGTTCCAACCCTCTGCTGTGGGCAGGGCTGCCTCTCACCTGGGTATTCTGTGCCACTCCAACAGCTCCTCATTCATTTTTCTTGTGCTGGGTGCCCCAGGTCTGGCTGCAGTATTCTAGATTGAATTTACAAGGGCAGAGCAGGGTGAGACAATCACCTCCCTCACACCTAGGAATGCTGGTCCACACCAGCACACACACTGAACTTTCCAATCACAGTACACATAGGTCAGCTAGTAAAGAAAACAAATGAGAGTCTTCCCATGGGTAAGACTGATGTCTGTTCTGGCATGATGTGTGAGGTCTGAAGCCACTCTAGGCAAAAATTGCAGTGAGACATATTCAGGGAGATGCAAAGTTTGGAGACGCTACAACTAATTTAGAACAGCTAGGTTGGTACTGCACCCAGACTACTGCCAGCTAGATGTGGGCATAGGAAGGTTTCCATGCCATTTTCTCATGACGCACGTGTCATGTAACAGTGCTGTAATAATTGGTGAGGTTGCTGTGTGAGCTTTGGTACCTGCCACAGCTTGTCTCATATCTGACAAAAAGGTTTCCACCTGCCCCACGAGGTTATCCCTG